TTGACTGGAGGATGTGTTGCCAAGGCTCACAGGCAGTCACTTGAGGCGGACACGGGTGGAAGGCCCTGCAAAGAACAGCCCATGGAGTCTGTCTGGCACCGTGGCCCACATTTGGTCAGCTCTTCCTTTCACACACAGAAACTTTTGCCTCCAGCTACTGGCTGGGCAGAGGGTCAATAATTATATTGCAAAATCAACAGACCTGTTCAGTAGAGTGTTAACCAGCTGTGAATGCTGCCAACTTCCCCTTACGCTAACCCCAGCTGGGCTGCACAGGGCTGGGCTGGGCTGGGCTGGGCTGGGCTGGGCATTGGGGAGGGGAGATAGGACAGAGGGCAGGAGAATGCACATAAACAGGTTCTTGTGAGAGAAGAAAGAGGAAATAATCCACAATTATCCTGAAATTATTCCCTGGCCTATTAATGAATAATAACACATGTATGTGCATAATTAAATCCTTCATTAATTTTAGGAATAAAAAGACAATTTTTCACTGCCTGCCAGTGTTTAAAGAATTGTGAGACACAGCTCCTCCTTGCATTCTAGTACACATAATAAATTGTCAGCTCGTGAGCATTTAAATAGCAATATGAAGTTAAGTTAGTAATAGCAGATGTTGCTGGTAACCCCCAGTAACAGCTGTGGGAGAGGAGAGCGTTTTCCTCCACCTGCTATGGGTCCCTGGCTGGCCTGAAAATTAAAATGACAAAGTCAGATGAATGAGAGAAAAATCACACACATTTTATTAAGTGTTTATATGTGCGTGGGAGCCTTCACAAGAGAATGAGGGCCCAAAGAAGTGTCCAGCGCAGGAAGCTTTGAGACCTTTTGGACAAAGAAACAATAAATTTGTGAAGAACTGACAAGATAGGGGGGTTGGGCCAGAGGTAGTAACTAGGATAATAAGGGGGAGTTTAACAAGGTTTGTTGGCAGATTTCTCTAGTGTCATCTCCAGGCTAAGCCTCTGTCTCCAGTGAAAGGAGAATTTATTTCCTGCCATTAAGGGGAAAAGGAGGCACTTTGTCTTCACTTGCCATTTAATTGTCCCCAGCTCAAAATAATTTTTATGTCATAGAGGCATATTTGGGGGTCACATAATCTGGCTTCCTTCACAACCCTCAGTAAGCATCCTATGCACTTAGTCTAAGTACTTTACCGGTGTTAATCCATTAACCCCATTTTACAGATGTGGAACCTGAGGCACTAGATATCATTTAAGGTCACCCAGGTGACTTGGCAGAGCTGGATTCAGGCCCAAAAAGTCTGCCCTTAACCCCTCTGCTGTGCTGACCTGTCACGGAAGGCAACGTGCAGGCAATGCATGGCCGGTCCCTGGGGACGACAGGGATTGAGACAAAGAGAAAATGCAGGAGACGACTGGCCAGCATTCCCAGCAGTGCCAGCTGCCTTTGTACAATACATTTGATTGAAACTTGACATTGCTAAGCATCGCAGGCTGTTGGGATCTCAAACCAACATTTTACTAAGCAAATAAATTGTCTGTGTGCTCATGCACCCAGAATATTTGGTTGACTGATTAATATATTTAATGTACTGTAAGAGTACTATTAATATTCATAGTTAATGCATTTGTAGTTCCACCAAACTACTTCCCAGTCTCACTCACCATTGATCTTAGACTCACGACCAGTTCTCCGGCACTAGACAAGCCACCTCAGGAAGAAATGTCTGGGAAGACCGTGGAGAGTTCGGCCTGACTGAAGAAAGGATCAGACAGTAGCATGAATGTCCTTAGGCGTAGGATGTTGCAAAAAAAGAGAGAGCAAGAGATAGAGAGAGGTGGCCCCCACTGACCGAATCTTTTACTCAATGCAAGGCAGTCACTCTGCAGACCTTCGTGACAGCGCCTCAAACGCCCCTCACAAAACCACTGCCAGACAGAGCTTAACATCCCCCTTTACAGATGAGGTAACTTGGGAGGATTAAGTAATTTGTCCAAAGCTCTAGTTAGTAGCTGGAAACCTGGGAATAGTTCCTACAGAGACCTGGCCTAAAGCCAGTGATTTCTGGATTTCTACACCTTTTTAAATTTTCTACTCTCAAAGGTTAGTTTGGATCATAAAGTGAGGTCATCATCAAAAATGAATGTGACTGTTAAAAGAATGATTTTCACAAGTTTAACAGTTTAATATGCAGGAAGTACAAATAAAACATCATATAACCTTGGGTCACTTCCTGATGTATTAATAATTAGCAGGCGAGAAAAGCCATAAAACCATTTTTAAGAGCTTTCTGTTCAGGACAAATGATTCCGTACTTCATGATGGTTGAAACTAACAGGTACTTGATTGTTTGAAGAGGGAAAATCATAAAAATGGTGCTTAAGAAATATCCATTAGCTATGCTTTCTTCATAGTGGCATTTGACCACACTAATTTTTAATGGATTTAACACTTGAATAGTAATTAATGGGTTTTATTTCATTAATATATTCACGGTGTTTCAAAAATGGGTCCAAAACAGTGGATCAAAATTAATAAAAATAAAAGTATGGCCACTGTATCTTTTGGCTAAATGGTCTGTTTGAATTATTGAATTATTAAAACACATTTGTAAGTTTAAATTTTTATTTTAAGAAGACAGCCAAATTTAGAGAAATGAGTATCTTAAGTCTGCAGTGGGGCCATGGGGATGTGTAAGAAAGGGGACCTGATCTAGCCTGGTGAAGTTCAGCAATCACCTATTTGCTCAAGGTACAATTGGAAGATTTCTAGTGGTACATAGTGAATACAACTTTCACTCCAGAAGATAAGTTGAGGTGGCCTCTGTGCACCTTCTCAGGAGTTAGAGAACTGCCAATTGGCTTCCACCCACCTGTGGTCCGGAGATGCTCAGAATCTAGGTGTTGAGGGGTATCTGGGATATCCAACGTCTACTTGAAAATGGCGGCTCACCACCGCCATGTAAACTTCAGCACCTGGCCCTTTCCCAAACTGAGCTTCTTTGCCCTGTGCCTAGTCACTGTGGGTGCAAGACTCAGTCTTCCCTTGCTGAGGCCCAGCTGCCTCCTCCAGATCCTGTGCGGGATCAGCAAGCTGGTCCTTCCACTCTTGAAACAACCTTCAACAAGTCCTCACACTTGAGAAACAAAAGCCAGGAACAGTCTTGCCTTCAGGAAGCTTTTGCTTCTAGCGAGAAAAGCATCCACGTGAGGAGCACAAAAGCCTGACTCCCTTGTTCAAATGAGAGGGGAAGCGGTATCACAGACAAAAAATAGAGGTGCAGATTAGTACCTTGGATGATACAGTGTTTGGAAAACTTTAGAGAGTTCATTCCATGCTTCAAACTAGAATTTGAACATTAGTGTAATGTTATCAGAATCACCCAGGGACCTGTGAAAGCAGATGGCTGGGGTGGGGCCAGGAACCTGCATTTCTGACAAGTTTCTGGGCAGTGCTGATGTTGCTGGTCTGGAGCTCCATGTTTGGAGGACCACTGACAGCTTTAGTAGATGTTCGCATGCGAGTACACTTCATTAGTACACTATTTTAGTAGATATTTAGTGTACCTAAATATGTGGTTGAAAATGAACATGAAAGTTTAAGTCTAGAAAGAGAAGATTAAAATAATTAAGTCAGACCAGACTGAATGACCTCAAGCATCCCCAAGGGAGGAAAACTGGGAAAATTTGGTCTTCTAAAAAATACCAAATATCCAAACCTTAAGGAAAATACAGACTTTTCTTTTCAATGGAATTGCTCTCCATTCATATAAATTGTGATGTATGTTAATGTGGTGAGGATCAATGATGAGTGTCTGAAATTACTGTGTACTCCCTTTTTTTGAATGACAGCACAGTCTACTGCTATAGGCTCAGGAAGTATGCTCAGTTAAACTTATTTTTGTTTGTGTATTTTTATATTGATCACACAAGTAAGATCCCCACTTCGGGCTATCTGAAGCAATTTCTTTTTATTTTTCCTATTAGCCAGCACTTGACCTAGCCTTGCCCAGCCTCTGCTGTCAATTAATGGGGTTTTTTCCCTGTGGGGGGGGGCGGGTAGTAGAAAACTGATTTTCAGTTAATATTAAGCCAAAGAAGAAAGATAAATATGTAATCATAGAATATATGTCAAAACAAATTTTAAATCTACTATATGAAACTGTTTCTCTTTTTGTTCCTTTGCTGACAGAAATATTTTGCATGTTTTAAAAATATTTTATGATTGATTTTTTTTTTTTTGAGAGAGACATGGATTTGTTGTCCTACTTGTTTATGCATCTGTTGGTTGACCCTTGTATGTGCCTGGGCTGTAGATCAAACTGCAACCCTGCCATGTCGGACTGATGCTCTATCTAACCCATGGAGCTACCCGGCCAGGGCTGGAGAGCACTTTGAAAATTTACCTTCACCACAGTTGGCATGAGCATATGTGTGTAAGCTGGGGCTGTGTGTCAAAGTGATCTGTTTGATAAGTACGAGCTGCCAAGCTCACAGCTCATTTTTTTTTTGTTTGTGTGTGTTTTCTAATAAGAAAGAGCACTTTGAGATTAGCATTAGTGAATTAGTTTGGTTCTCTTGTGGGTATTGATCATTTCTTCTCAGTCTTGAATTATTTCAAGAAAAGAAAATCTTACAATCGCCTATAGAAGACACCCAAATACATATGTGTACATTATGCTGAACTTACGACATCTGCCAACATCAGACCACATTCTGCCTACAACCGTGGCGATTTCATGAGATTCAACTAGAGATTGTTCCAAAAAAAAGAACAGCTGACTTTTTTCCATATGTAAACTTCTTAAAATTCTTAAATACAGTATGAATTATGTACACTCACCTGACAATTCTTCTGTACCCTACAGCTTCTCCCTTACCTACTCTATTTTTATTAATGCATTGCCACAGTATCACATGGCTGCTAATGGTTAGTGTTCATGGTTTCAAGAACAGGAAACTATGTTTGCTTTTGCCCAGTCAGTAGGGACTTACTAAGCTGTTTTTACTCAAAACCTGCTCTTTCCTTCTTCCTAGGGCTGTGTCTGTAAGGACAAAGGCCAGTGCTTCTGTGATGGGACCAAAGGGGAGAAGGTAAAAATAAAACCTTATTTCTTACCTTCATTCTGCTTCTTTTCTCTATGGACCTCATCCAAGAATTCACTCTTCTTTCATTAACAGCAAAAAGATCAACAGTATGTTATTACATTTCCCAAATCCAATGTTAAAGTAATCGTATGTACACATTAACCTTAAAAAAAAAGTCCTTCCAGGAAGCTTCAGGTAGCTTGTGTAAATAAGGGCAGTTCTTTTACCTCTCTTGACCTGTAAAGAAAAGAAGCAAGTTAGCGAAGAAGAAAGTTTATGTATACCCTATTTACAATGTTGCTAAACACTAGAGAACAACTGAAAATAACTTGATTCCCTCACTTTGACATAAACCTTGAAACCCTCAAATTTTGTGCTGCGGCGTTGATGCTAGTGCGCCCCCTGGTGGAAACATCCTGTACCGGCACGCTCGCTAGTTGTAAAAATTTAGCAAAGTTGCTCCCTTGCACAATTCAAAAGAAAAAAAAAAGACTGCTCTGAAATCTCATTAATTCGCTCCATTAACTTGCAATTTGTGATAATTAAGACAAAAGCAGAACTGCAGTTTTGTCTTTGTTTACAAGACCTTTTCATCAGATACACTAATGATTTGCTTAAGGATTTTGAAAGATGATTACTTAAAAATATTTTTAAAACAAAATATTTTAAGCTCTTTAGATAAAATAACTTACATACATTTATATGCCAATTACAATAGTTACTATGTTTATTTAAATTATTCTAAAATTCATGTGTAGTTTGATTTAGGGTTTTTTCCAGAAGCTATTAATATCGTATATTCAGATCCATGTTGGAAAGCTATGACTCATTCTTCCATGCAAGAAGCATTATTGAATCCCTACTATGTGCAAGATGCTATTCTAAGATGTGTGAAGGCACTTGAGTATTGAGAGGAGTCTATCTAGCAAATTCTTTTCTTTCTCTTTTTATTGAGTGTGTTCTCTCTGTTAAAGTTTAATTTGCCAATATTTGCCAATTGCATAACTAAATTGACTGAATCAAGAGGTGGTCTTTACTGTTACAGAGTAATTCCAGCACCCACATCCATGGGAAAATTCTTTGTTGACAGGACTGTGTCACTCTTTGGGCCTAACTTACTTGCTCGCACTCCTGATTAGGGGCTTTCCCATCATAGCATCTGACTCTTTCTAAAACACTGTTTAGCTCACACCAGATATTTGTGCCACCCTTGATGTCCATCCTCATCTCCTACACAAATATCAGACTGAGTCACTAATTCCTGAGAGGACTGAACCCCTAGGCTGCATGCTGTGCTTTTCAATCTGCAGAGCAATTACGCTCCCACTCCCAGACACATTCCTGTGCCTCGTCCTCACTCTCTCTGTCGCCCAACAAACACACCCCGCTGACCTAGAATTTTCTAACTGGGTTTCCCCTCCGTTCTCGATTCGTTCCTTTAATGCTGGTCTCTACAGCTCTGCTATTCAGGAAACAGTTTTTACAGATCAAGGACCAGCGCTTCCCAGCCTACAGACAAATGCTAAGCGCTGGCAGCTCTTCCGTTGTTTACATCTAATGGGAAAAAATATGCAAAACGTTACCAAGTCATGAAAAAAAACACACGCTGCAGGACAAAATTTGAATATGTTGTTGAGTAGTTTCTGTTCTGTGTTTCTTGTCTTGCTTTGGTTTTAACAGGGAGAGAAAGGTTTTCCTGGACCCCCTGGGTCTCCTGGCCAGAAGGGATTCCCAGGTCCTGAAGGCTCACCTGGACCACAGGGACCCAAGGTATGTTAGCCTATAAGGCTGAGGATCCTCGATCTACCCATCCCCCTTTCCACCTACCCCTGGGCTGCTGAGCACAAGGAGGGAATTCTACCTCCGAGCCAACCGGACGGTGTCGCGGCAAATGCCTGCTCGCCCTTCCCATTCGCATCCTACTCCAAGGCCATCGCACAGGATCGTGATTATCTCCAAGTCCCCTACTCAGCTTTCTCCCCGCGCCCCTCCAGCGTACACCGCTGCCCCACCTGCCTCAGACCCTACCCCCTCCTTCACGGAAGGGTGTGTCCTTTTCGCCTGCATCCTGCTCTCTGAGATGACAGGCAGAACCTCATTCCAGGAGGTAGCTCCTTTGTCCTGAGATAGTCTAACTTTCCTTCTGATGTTGGCTTTTCTCTTTCAGTCCTTAAGCATACCAGCATTTCACTCTATCAATATAAAACTCCCTCTAGACCTTTTGGGTCTTATAGCCAAAGACAGGATCCTTTCCCTGTTTTTCCTTTGTCTATTAAATGTAAAAAAAGAAAAGAAAGAAAGAAAGAAAGAAAGAAAGAAAGAAAGAAAGAAAGAAAGAAAGAAAGAAAGAGAGAGAGAGAGAGAGAGAGAGAGAAAGAAAGAAAAGAAAAAAGAAAAGAAAAGAAAAGAAAAGAAAAAAATAGTTAAACCCACTGGATATAGTTCATCTCCTATTCACTCCTTCAGTGTTAGACTGTCATGTCCAAAGGCCAGCGCCAGTGGATACTTTGCTGCCTTTATCTGATCTGAGCCCTCCACTTTGTTCCAGAGATCACAGATGGCACCGCTCTCTTCCCCTGGGAACCCAGCCTTTGTTTCTGGAACCCTTGTTTTTCTGACTGCTTCTCTCCCACCTTCCTGTCCTTCTTGGGTTCCTCTTTCCCACCTGATCCCTTAACCATCAGGACCCCTAAGGTTCCGACCAGAGCCTACTGCCCTTCATAGTCATCACACATTTTTATCCTCAAGTTTACATTACAACTAAAGGCTTTGTTTAAGTCAATGCCCTAGAGCTAAAGAACTCCTAACCTCTCCATCTTCCTGTGGCCCTTTCCTGCCGCACACGTTAGCCAGACGGGAGCCTGGGCTCTCATGCATTCAGGCGGTGAGCCTCTGACTGCTGGCCCCCAGCAAGGGTGCGCTAACTAGTAAGTTAGGAGAGACCATTACATTGATCTCCATACAGTCTTTACATTTTATAAGTAGAACGTTGAAATAGTCACCCAAGGTAATATTTATTGCAAACGTACTCTGGGCCAGGCGCTGGGCCCTGTATTCCTGACTGCATCTCCTTCACCCCTCACAGTGGTCCCCAAAGTCATGGCTCTGGTGACTCATAACCTCATCTCATCATTATGTCCATTTTACGGATGAGGAAAGGGACACTCAAAGCAATGGAGTAACTCGTCTCGGGTCACGCAGCCAACAGGTAGCCAGATCAGAGTTCCCACCTGCTTTTATATGACACCACAGTCAAACTCAGGAAACCAAAGAAGCTGAACCCACACCTACAGGTTCCAAGTAAAAATGCAGAGGTGATTGTTTTTCAGAAACTCTGCCGTTTCCTGTCTATCCCATTCATGTATGCATTCTGTTTCTCCAATTCCCCTTCTCGAGATCCTAATTTTGAGAAAGTCATTTGGATCCTGGACATTCAGGGTCTGAATTCAGAGACACTCCATGGCTTTCCTCCCAGGCATCATCTCAAATTTTCCTCCCTTTCACTGGTAGAATGAATTTGCCACATAAACCCTGTCCTTCAGATCAGCTGAATACCAGCTCCTCCCGTTTTGTTTTGTTTTGTTTTGTTTTGTTCTCTACAGCCCACTCTACTTGTTTCTTTCAGCATTTCTTTAGCAATGGAAGCTGTGGATTCAGAGTGCTCAGCCTGAGTGAAATGATGTGCAGGGATTCCGTAAAGCTGGTCCAGAACACCTGTGTACTGTGTTGTCATGGAGTTCATGTCTTAAAGCGTAGCTTATAGATATAGCCCCACAAGATCATTTGATCCAGGGCAGACAAAAAATATCAAAACCTGACCAAAAGCTTTTTCAATTTGATAAACTTCCTATCTTACTTTTACATATTTTTTTTCATGGGGATATTTACAACTGGAAAATAAAACCTGCAAGCCCAGCTTCTGTCTTCTGCAAACACACACAGCATCCTGCAGAGCTAGGGACATGCGCACACAGCCAGGAATTTCCCCTCAGCCAGGAAAGGCTGACTTGGGTTTTGACATTCCAAGCTCAGAAGACTCTGTACCAATCCTCTTCCCAAATGATCAAAAATATGAAAACATACTGAAACTCTCAAGAATGATGCAAACAGCTTTTGGACAATAGAACCTTTACACCCAGGGTCCTCGTTAAAAATGTATCCATTTAAGGTTATTATTCTTTAAGAAACAGGGACTCCACACTGTTCATTATGTGCCCAAAGCAAGTTTATCTCTGGTTCAGGCAGTCCTTACTTAGCTGTTTATTTATCTGTGCATGGCAGGTACACTTTGTTATTAAAGTATTTCGCTTATCAGACCTCAGCAGCTGTCTGGCTCGCTGTGCGGGATTTTTCAGCAGAACTCTGACACTAATGTGAACACGACTCATTGTTGCGTCTTGTTGAAGTGCAGATTTGGAATCAATAAGTCTGAGAGGCAGGGGACATGAGATTCTGCTTTTCTAACAAGCTCCCCGACGATCCTAATGTTAGACCCTTACTTTGAGTAGCAAGGGTTTGAATCTAAGTTTCCTCGTCCTTACTGATAACTATTTTACCTCCAATGTAACAAGCAGGTACCTAAACCATGCGAACAATGGAATAATCACAAGGGCAAACTTGGCGTGTCACCAAAACTGAGACCTTTAATTTACTCGTTTCTGGTTTCATATGATTTTTCTTGGGTGTTTACTTCTCTTTTTCCACTTGTACCTAGGGCTCTCGAGGACTTCCAGGACTCACTGGTCCCAAAGGTGTACGGGTTAGTAGTCCAACCCATCCACCCTGACTGTGTGATGATTTCTTTTTTGAGAAAAGAACCCTGCACTGTAGAAGTTATACAAATGTCACAAAGGAGTACATTGTGTATGGTGTGTTTCTATAGACAAAGTTTAAGAACAGGTAAAATTAATCTATGATGGTAGAAGTCAAAACAGTGGCAGCTACGTGGGGGTGGTATTAATTGATTGGAAAAGCGTGCAGGAACCATGTGGAGTGATGTTCTGTGCCTGGGCATGGTGGTGATAACAGCAAGGTGTACATTTGTGCATATTGGTTGTCATGGAAGCGGGGAGCACTATACTTTAATCAGATTACGCCTTTAAAGTCTACCCGCCAAGAGTCTAAAGCAATCTTACTCATCTCTTTTTAAAAATTAAGATAAATGTAAGATTTACAAGTTTGTCAAATCTTTTGTGTGTGTGTGTGTTTCAAATAGTGTTTGGCTGTTCTCCATCATAGCTGTAAGATGGTGTTATAGGAATGGTAGATAATTTTCTGTTTATATATTGAACATTTTAAAAGTGGTTTTTTTTTTTGCCACCTCCCCCCCTTTTTTTGTCTTTAGGGAATAAGTGGATTACCAGGATTTTCAGGTCCTCCTGGACTTCCAGTAAGTAATGGGGGGAAAAATGTGTAACTGAAAACATAAAAAGTAAGTTAATTTGAATAAAGTTGTTAAATCAATAGCACAAGGAAATGGATATTGATAAATTCACTGCATGATGAAAATGGAATGGTAGGATGGCATAATATGTTGGAGTGTAGATTGGTAGGTCATACAGATCAAATTGCATTGCCTGAAAAACTAGAATAGGATAGGTTAGAATAGGATAGGATAGCACAGGATAATAGAACAAAAGAATAGAATGCAATAGAATAAAAGAATAGAACAAAACAACTGTTTAATACCATATAATTAATTATAAAATAGTTACCACTGTGCACATTTCCCCCTTCTTTTTCCTTTCCTTTCCATCCTCCAGCTTCAAACGCAGGTTAAGGGATCCATGTTACATAGAACAACCTTTGACTTTATTTCAAATAGCTGTATTTCACCTGATAATTCTTGTTTTAATTAACCCGTTTTATTTGCTATGATTTTTGTTTAAATTATTTTCTAAAATGACTGCATTTACCACTTAATTATTCAAGTAACCATTTATATCTAAGTAACTATCTCCGTGAGCCCCCCTTTCCCTCCCCTTGGCTTCCTCGCGGCTTCCACTGCTTCCGCCCGGTCCCAGGGCCTCGATGTTCCCTCCCCTTTTTGAAACCCGCTCTCTTTCCAGGGCACCCCAGGCTATCCCGGACCTTACGGTCTTCCTGGTTTACCAGGATGCAATGGCTCTAAGGTAATGTGCTTCTTACACAGGACTTGATTAGTAAATGTTTTGCTGAATGGATCAATCAAGGTGCAGTAGCAATGAGATAGGACAGACTTTCCTTGGACCGTTCTTATAGCCAGAACCAATGGTACCTGTCTTCAGAGCAGAAATGTGATGTTCGAACCAGGAACCTGCCTATTTTCTTTGTTCCTATGCCTTGGTTTCCAATCGTCCTTTGAGGAAGTTCTCTCATGTTTTCTCACAGGAAGATAACTGGTTATTTTTATCTGAGGTTGTGAGATAAATTGGAAACTCAAGCTGGGAATGCAAAATATGTCTTTGGAAAAGGACTGAGCTTTTGTTTGTTTGTTTTTTCTTCTTTTCTATTTTTATTTTTTAATTTTTTGTTTTTTCTTCTTTTTATTGTTGTTCTATTCCAGTTGCCCCCATGTTCCCCCGTTGCTCTCCCCTGCCCCACGCCCCCTCCCTCCTCCCACAGCCAATCCCCACCCCGTTGTCCATGTCCAGGGGTCATTTACGGGCTGAGCTTTTTGATGTTCACTCATCTTTTTTGTCTCCTGACTGCACGCTCCTCTTTCCCAGAATGGTGGCCAAGAAAGAACTAGTTACTGACGTTTCAAGGAAACAGCAATTAAAAAGTTTTTGGCACAATGAGACTTTTGCCATTTATGCACAATTTGAGAAACAATAGATTCTAATCTTGTTTTCAGTTAAGATAATGGTTTTCTGGCCTTCAGCCTCAGGACCCAGTAGCCATGAGGAACTTAATTACTTTGTGTAGATTTACCCCTGCAGGGCTAGAAGGGAGGAACAGGGAAAATAGCTCAACAGGCTGTTTTAGCACAACTAAGAACAACGACAAGCTTTGTGTGCTCTTTCTTCCAGGGGGAGCGAGGGTTTCCAGGATTTCCAGGGACACCAGGCTACCCAGGGGTCCCGGTAGGTCTGCATTTCTAACTCTCCATCACAGACATAAAGTAAAATGTAAGTGGTTTATTCCAAAAGGACCCTTTACTGAGATCTGTCATGAGGATGTCTGGGGCCACCAGTAGTAAACATCCCACTGATTGTTGAGGAATGAATGAACACATGGCTTAGGAGTTCAGGTTTGCCCTTTGAGACTTTTTTTTTTTTTTTTTTTTTTTTTTTTTTTTTGCTTTAAAGGCATAGAGTGGAGCTGTATAGTAGGCAGAGGAGAGACTGGGAGAGGGTGACCTGGGAAGTGAGAGAGCAGAGGAGGCAGCTTAGAGCCAGGACCTCGGTCTGGGCCCAGGGGTATGCGCTTGTAAAGGAGGAACAGCCCTGTTGGAAGACGGAAGCCAGGGGCACATGGCACAGAAGCCCGGAGAGAGAGGTCTCAAATTATACCTTTAAAGTCTACCCCCTAAAAGTCTAAAACTACTTTCCTCGTCCCTTTTTAAAATTAATAGAAATGTAAGATTTACAAAAGTTTGTCAAACCTTTTTTGTGTGTTTCAAGTAGTGTTTAACCATTCCTAATTAGAGCTGAAGGATGGGGTTATGGAAATGGTAGAAAATTTTCTGTTTATAAGTTGAACATTTTAAGTGTGTTTCTTGCCACCCTTCCTTGGAGGGGAGCAGCAGACAGCTGCCTAATGCTGCTGAGAAGTCCAGTAAGATGAAAACAGACGCTTTTGTCATTGACTTTAGCAATGCCAAAGTCATGGTAGGCCTTAGCATGGGAGACTTCCGTGATGGCGAGAGGCAGGAGGCAGATGTGGGTCTGGAGCACGAGCAGGAGATGAACAGAACAGGAAGCGTGCAGGCGACATGCAGAAGAAGCTGAGCAGTAAGGGGCAAGGGGGCTAGATCAGAAGTGCACCATGGAGAGGGAAAGCAGGGCAGGAGAGAGAAAGAAGGTGTTGTTTATTTGTTAACGATGTTGTGATGTAATGAAGGAGGATGTTGTGTCTAGTTAGTAATACACCATTGCTCTTCCTAGGGTGCTGTTGGTTTAAAAGGAGAAAAGGTAAGTCATTTGCAGCATCTTATTATTGAAAATCTGTCATCGTACATATGAAAGGGACTTCTATTAAATAATAAGATATAAATAATTACGAATGGAATTTCATCATTAATCCAGAAACCATTAAAATTGCGACATGATATTTATTTTTATTGAACATCTTCTATCTCTTGTCATAAACGTGTCTTTAAAAAATACAAGTTTTGTTTCATTGTTTAAGGAAACAGATTCTAGGAGAAAAGGCCTGGCCTTTTGCCAAGGGCCCTCCCATCCAGATCAGGAAGGGCCATTTACTCTGGAATCTTGGGAAACGCTTTATCATCCTTGTGTTTCTTCCTTCCTTCCACAGTAAATTGTTAATTTTAGAAAATACAAAAATGCTTCAAATCCTTCAAAATGGAGTAACTACCTAATACTAAACCATTTCTCTAAGTACATACTTTGGTATCAACAAAAGGACATCAAAACCTATAGAAAAGTTTTATGAAAGTTTATCTGAGCCAAATTTTTGAGGACATGCCCAAAAGCAATCCCTCAAAAGATTGATAAAATGCTGCTGAGACGGCAGATTTGCAGTTCCTTTTGTGAGTTTAGAATCCAAGGAGAAAACATGAGGAAGGTACATAAAATCCATTGGTGGTAGATTAAGGAGATGGGAGAAAGCAAAGCAGGGAAATGTCTAGGATTGGACAAAAAGCAAAATGGAGGAACGTATATGTCTTTCACATTGGTGGGTACAAGGGAGTCCACGTTCCCAGCACATATTGAAGAATGCGGAGAACAACATAACAATGAGGGATTCTGGGATCTCGTGCTCTGGTGCCTACAGTTGTGTCCTGAGGGGTCTAGAAAAGAGATTGACTCTGGCATTTCAAAGGTATATTATCTTAGATGCATAAGAACAGGGGACAGGACTTGCCTAAGATCAAGAGTGACCTTTGCCAATGAAACTATAGGCCTGGGAGGTGACTATTCACCATGACTTGCCCAGTTTGGAATTTATTTTCAGACCCTCCTGTGTGGTTACATTTGGTCACTGAGCTTGTCATCCCTGCCATGTGGCCCCCTGAGCTTGTCAGGTTTATTACAGAGCCCCTTTATCATCTACGCTGGAAAGCGCCTTTATCCTTGAAGTGGCATGACCTTCAATAAGCATTTAAATGGGCTTTGAAGATATAACAGCTATGATGGTCGATGAACTTCATTTTCAAGGGTGCTCCTGCGAAAGAAGAAGGTATAGAACTTGATGGAAAAGGTGATCCCGGGTTGCCAGGAGCTCCAGGATTACAGGTACCAGCACTTCAGAGAAGAGTCCTACCATTCTCAGTCGCTCCCTCTCCATTTTCCCTCTCTCTCTCTCTGTCTGTCTGTCTCTGTGTGTATCCTTCTCTCTCTTTCTACCTTCTGTTTCTCCTTTCTCTCTCTCCTCTCTTTTTTCCCCCATACCTCTTTCTCACTCTCCTAAGAATATTTAAATACAACATTTGTATGTCTTCTATTTACATATCCACCTCATTTCATTGTAAAACATTCACCTTATGATAAGAAAGTACATGAAGCTAATGTAAAGAGGTGATTTGTACATATGCCTTTTCATCTTCTTAAGTCTCAGTGATCCAAGCTTTCCTAAATCTCGGGTAGAGTCTTCAAGAAAGAGTGAGGTTCAACTTCCTCTGTATTTGTGAAAATCAAGGCTAGGTTTGTATCATACATAGAACACAGTTTAAAACTGTAACAGTAAGTAATAGCTGTACCATAAAAGTTGCATGATAGTAAATAACAGGGTTTTACTTTAATGCATCTTTCTCTGTTGAATAGCTTGCTTTCTGATGTCTGTGCGTGTAGCCTGAGGGGGTCCAGAAGGGCTACAAAGAAACATAACTATTGGGGGAGGGGGGGTTGTGTGTTCTTTACTTGGTAATTCAAAAAGATCTTCTGGTAGACCTAAGTCACAGGAACTAACTTTCAGGATAATTAACCAGAAATATGTGAACTTAGTTCAGAAGTATATGCAGAAATTCCTGGGTAGAGATTAGCAGTTGTCTAGGTGCGTCAAAGAGTGTCAGTTAAGGTTGCTGAACTCCTACCTAGAGAGCCATGTCAACTGGTGGCCAAGCTGTGGAACTGCAGAAGGATGCAACTAAGGAGCCATCACAGGCTTCAGAGAAAAGATACAGGATACCCAGGCTCTTGGGTTTTTACTTAGGATATGCTAAGGGGTCAGATGCTAGAGCAGGGGGGCCAGGAAGAGAAGAAGGTAACAACCTGGAAGTAGATATACCCCTTAAATGTGTGTTAAGTGTCAGCTACATAATATATATATATTGTGCTAATACTGAAGGAAATATTTATAACCTGCCAATGACTTGCCATGGATTTTTCTAGACTTTAGGGTACTATAGTGCACAAATCAGCCACAAAGTAGCTTTTAAAAAATCCTTGCCCTCATGGAGTTTACATTCTAGTCGCGGGAGGGGGAGAAAAATATAAATTACTAAGTGTATGGTGTGGGGGGTTGTAATAAATATCAAGGAGAAAAATAATGCAGAAACAGGGACTAGGAAATGTCTGGGTTAGGAGAGTTGCAACTTGCTTATTTATTTATTTATTTACATAAAGAGGAGAAGGGAGAGAGAAAGAGAGGGAGAGAAAAATTGATGTGTAAGAGACCCTATAGATTGCCTCTTGCACTTCCCCAGCTGGGGACCTGGCTCACAACCCAGACATGTGCCCCAGCTGGGACTTGAACCAGCAACCTTTTGGTTCGCAGGTCAGCACCCAATCCATTGAGCCACCCCAGCCAAGGCGCTTTATTTTATTTTTTTAATTTATTTTTTCAATTTTTATTTACTGATTTTTAGAGAGAGAAACATTGATTTTGTTACTCCACTTGCTTATGCATTTGTTGGTTCCTTCTTCTGCGTGCTCTGACCAGCTATCGAACCTACAGTCTTGGCATATCAGGATGATGCTCTAACCCACTGAGCTTCCAGGCCAGGGCTAGATAGTCACAGCTTTAGATCTGATGTGCAGGAAGGCCTAGGGTAAGAGTGATATTTGAATCAAAAGAAGAAAAGGGAGAAGAAGTAAGCCACACTCTTGTCTGAGGAAAGAAGATTCTAGGCAGAGGGAGAACAAGTGGAGAGCCCCAAGGTAGGAGCTTGTATGGCTAAGAAAGAGAAAGAAGCAACATTTCAAAGATTTGTGAAGTTTTTCTGCAGTAAAGCTACTGCTCTGGCCATTTTTCTGGAAGTAGCACCAACAGGAAGGTCCTGGCAGCCTGTAAACACTTGGCAACTCTCTTGGGGGCATGTATTGTAATTAATGGCAGGCATAAATGGAAGGCATCATGTTCCTCTGATTTTATTAAAATATTTTAATGCACTTAACTAACGGACATTGTTCTTAGGTGATGAGTACATTCACTCTTTCATCTCTTGATTGAAAGGGTTGGCCAGGACTCCCAGGTTTTCCCGGACCCATCGGCCCACCTGGCCCTCCAGGGTTCTTTGTGAGTACGAAGTCACCTTTGCTATTGACACCATAAAACTAATAAAAGAATTATTGCTTAAATTTGTAAATGGTTTTTCTGGCTTGGTGCATTTCCTGCTATAATTTTAATTTGTGGATTTTTTTTTTTTTTTTAGGGCTTGCCAGGAACCATGGGGCCTCCAGGACTTAAGGTAAATTATAGCTCCTATGTCTTATCAGCCAGAACATCCAAATGAACATAAAAGCCAAACCCAGTCTGATTGCACACGGGGGTCACTATGGGCCCATGTTGGAAGCTCACCAGGATTCCCAGGATTCCCAGCAGGGAAGGGAACGTGGTGGGGAGCTCTTCCCTCTCCTCTCCTTGCATGGCAGTGACTTGACCCCTGATACAGAGTCTTAATTCAATCGCAAGGAGCTCCTTACCAGAAAAAGGGCTGGGATTGCTTTCCATAGATTTCTTATTTCTGATAACTCTACAGATCACTCGCCACTTTATCCTATACCTTTTTATAGTGGGATGTTTCCTGAAACCCATCTTATTTTATGCTTATAAATAAAAGATGACTAATCATGGACTCATTAAGCAGGGTACTGCATGTGTTTCTATTGCCAAGGCCAGTCATTGGTGGCAGGGAGGAAATGAGTTTTTCCTCTACTTGGTTAGTTTCAGTGACTGGGGCCCTGCTAATTAACCTGACAACAAGAGATTAATGGGAGAAAAGGTTTATTTCATAAGCACAAAAATGAAAATCCCGAACCGTTTGTGTACTATTTTCACAAGGGGAGATAAATTCGTAGAGAAATGACAATATAAACGAAAGAGGTTTGAGCTTCTAAGGGTGATCAATTATAAGAAAGTAAGTATAAGGGGGAAACTAATAGAAGGTAAGGGTTATTCCAGCAGGGTTTGTTTATGCAGTTTTAAGTCAGTGCTATCTCCACTGATAAGAGTTGTCCCCTCTTCCTTGGACTGGAGAGGGCAGAGGTGACGCCCCCACAAAGGGACATTTATATAGTTGGTAGGCAGATAGGGGTAGGCAGAGGACTTCTGCATTTTCTGTCCCTAAACTGCCTTCAACTCCAAATCCTTAAGCTAAAGTGGTATATTTCTGGGTGGCATTCTCTGATCCCCATCTTTAGTTTAAGTAAGGAAGTGCTGAGCCAGGCTGCACCCCACTAGGAAATTAGTGCTGCATGGCAGACATTTGACAAGATGAGCACTCTCACTGATCATCCAGGAAATGCAAACACCATCCACAGTGCCTGTTGCAATACCTACTCTCAAAGAGTCAACAAATAACAAACGTCGGTGAGGATGTGGGCAAATGGGAATCCCTGCGCACTGTTGGTGGGATTGTAAATTGGGGCAACCACTAAGGAAAACAGTATGGATGTTCCTCAAAAAATTGAAAATAGAACTACCATGTGATTCAGCAATTCCATTTCTGGGCATTTATCCAAAGAAAATAAAAACACTAAATGAAAACATATATGCATCTCATGTTCGTTGCAGCATTCTTTACAATAGCCAAGGTAAGGAAGCAGCCCAAGTGTCGATCAAAAGATAAGTGGATGAAGAAGGGGAGATAAAATGCAATATTATTCATCCATAAAAAAGAATGAAATCTTTTCATTTGTAACAATGGATGGATGTAGAGGGTTTATGCTGCATGAAGTAAGTCAGAGAGCGAAAGACAACGACTGTAGGATTCCACTTGTGTATGGATTCAAAAAAAACAAACAAAATGAAACATAGACTCACAGATGCAGAGAACACACCCATGCTTGCAGATGGGTGGGGCGAGGGTGAAGACGGTAAAGGTGTGTGCGAGGTGCAAATTTCTCATTATAAAATCGGTAAGACTTGGGAATGTAACATACAGCACAGGAACAGCCAAGAACATCGTAACTTTGTACAGTGACAGACAGGCACCAGACTTATCGTGGTGGTCACTTCGTAAGGTATCAAAATGGAAAATCACCATGCTGTCCACCTGAAACACATAATATTGTACATCGACTATACTCTAAGTTTAAAATAACATGCTCTTTGAGGATGAAATAAAATAGCAACTGTGACCTTGGGGAGGAGGGATTCAAATATAAATGCTCAGTTACAAATATTGGAACTTTAAAGGGCTTAGTCAATTTATTCATATTCCTTTTTAAAACTAATTTGGTTTTATATTTCTGACAGGGGCACATGGGTGATAACGTGATCGGACCAAAAGGAGAGCGGGTAATGTGAATACGGAGGCTTGTGGGTGGGCGGGTCGCTTGCAGCGCCCAGGCGGTCAGCCGCCGCGTTGTGTTCAGTAAGGCGCAGGCGAGGGGCGCGCTGGCTGTGTCTCACACGGTCCTTGACTCTATTTGCTTACAGAAGCGCTAAAGGGGAAAAGCAGGTATCTCAAATATACTAAGGGCGATGTGGTTTAGTTTATAATTCTTGAGTGTGTTTGTCTTTAGGGTGTGAAAGGACTAAGAGGACCCCCCGGACCACCAGGCACTGTTACTGTGATGCTGACGGGCCCGTATAACAGGACGGTAACGCCTCAATTTTATTACTGGGGTCGTGTCTTTCCGTTTCCTTTGCCTTTTCTCTAAGTTCTGTCACCCAAGCCCAGCCCCCTCCGCCTTGTGGAGCCTCTCAGGTTTATTCCTTCCCTATTTTTGTTACTCGTGAACCAGAAAATGTGAAATCTGAAGGAAGCAGCTTCCAAGAGTCTTGAAGGTACAGCTCCTCACGGCCAGTTTTGCTCACCCTTTACCCTCAGCCCCTCTCATTGCCCCTAATGCAGAGGGCGTATTCAGTGAGCATTTCTGAACAAATCATTACGAAATGGGTGTGCAGCTCTGAGCCAATTGGATGGGGAGACTCTAAAGATATGGATGGAAGGGTGTCATATTAACGTGGGACGTGTTTATCGTTCCATCGTAACCCTAAGGACAGTTTGTTCCCCATCTCTCGTCAAAAGACTATGATCTTTTATTTGGACATTAACATTGGCTTTCAGGGTATGGAGCTGAATCAAACACTCAGAAGAAGTGAACCACGATGTAATACACCAGTCCCACACACTAGGTTGGATCCTGGGATGGCTGGGAGAGAATGGAGAAGCAAAGAAGTAGCTAACAATTGTGTAGTGGATCAACTAAGAAATAAGCATAAGCCGTTCTTATCTTGTAAACTTATACTTGACTGTGTTTTAATGATAGCTTGATACAGCTATTATTAAATAGCTTGAGATATATTATTCTCAAGCTATTATTAAATAGCTTAAGCTATATTATATAGCTTAAGATATAATTCACCTGTCACAAGATTCACCCTGTTAAAGTATTCAAATCATGGGCGTTAGTAATAATGAATTTTAACAGCTTTGTTAGATATAATTCACATACCATAAAATGGCTTACTTGGTGTACAATTCAGTGGCTGTCAGTATATTCATAGACTTTTACAACTATTACCACATTCAGCTAGAACATTTGCATCGCTGAAAAAAAACCTCTTAACCATCAGTTTCCGATATAATTTTTAATAATGAAAATTTTCAAAACAAAAGTTAAAACAGTGAAATTTGATATGACAAAAATAATAATTCACACTGAAGACGGGAAAAAATTGAACTGAAGGGAAAAAAACCTGAATTTTCCAGAGGTAATCAACAAAAATAAAATTTTAAAAGTTTAAAACTTTATTGACTAAAACTTGAGAGGAAAAAATACCTCATCTTGACAAACTCTTAATCTGGAAGAGATAGCCTGGTGGGTAGGAGACAATGAGTTTGGAAAAAATGCCCTGAAGAAAAGCGACACACTGGAAAAAGTATAACCAATAAAATATGATAAAAACAAAAACAAACATGATTAATGAATCAAATCCTCATTGTAACATTTACTCAGAAAATAATTGATTGCCGTAAAAATAATTTCAATATATTAAACATGAATGTAAAATACATTAGAAATGATGTGATTGTGCTTATAGGAAGCTGATTCAGGTATTAAATTAGTTTAATGTAATTTGATCAAAAGCTACTTCCCTTTTAAAAAAGTATATCGTTTTGGTGAGTTCACAGGTATAAAACTCAAAATGTGAAAAATCACAATGTGTCACGTTAACAGGAGGAACATAAGTATTTTGTAAATTCAGTATATTTAACAGATAAAGGACTTTTCCAAGTGTATTCAGTAGAACTGTGTTTGATCTGCTTGTAACAACTTTAACTTGTTTTTGTGGCAGGAACTCAAGGGGGAGAAGGGAGACCAGGGAGACGAGGGCAAAGCTGGACCTCCTGGACCCTCGGTAGGTCACTTAGAGTCACGTTGTTCCTTTGAAACACAATTAACGTTAGTGAACATTTTGATTGATGATCTGCCTTTAAAAATCTTAATATTAGCTACAGGGCAATAGCAATTTGCCACAGAGGCCATGAATACACTAGGATTACTTTATGGCCACTTCTAGCTGAAATCCTTGCGCTGTTTTGCATGTACTCAGTCTTATCCATCTCAGAATTGATTTGCAGCATCTGGTTTTTTAGCACCTATTTTTTAAAACTAATTAATACTCATAAATAGTATTTCCCTCTTAGATGACCTATCATTTTAATGTTTTTAAATACAGCAGAATAATCACAATGGAAAGGTGAATAAAAATCAATGTCAGTCAACAGTCAATAATTAGTAAAACTTGACCTAAGTCTCATTAACACAGGGACCACCCGGGGACTCTTACGGATCAGAAAAAGGTGCCCGTGGAGAACCTGGCCCACAGGTAAACCAGGAAATTATATTAGGCAGCATTTGAGCCCAGTTTTCTCTCTTTCTTCTTTTGGCCCTCCCTGATTTCCCATTCCAACTGGCTTCTGCGTTACCTGCAAGAGATATTTGCGTGTTCCGTTATTAATAATAGTTTCCTTCTCATAACTGTCTGGGAAGCCTCAGCCAGGCCTTCTTGCCTGAGGGCGAGAGGAGATGATTATATCATTTAAGTTTTCCATGTTTACTAAAGTTATCCATATTTATTAGATTCCCTGTTTTGTTTTGTTTCTGTTTTAGGGGAAACCTGGAAAAGACGGTACCCCTGGGTTCCCTGGCATTGAGGTACAGGCATGGTTTCCCTGTTGGTATAGTAAATGCGTCAGTCCCATTAGATGAAGGAGGATTTTTGAGAGTCACTGAGTAGTTAGTTATAAACTAAACAACAGCCTATAGTTTTTTAAAATTACATTTGAGAATCACAGTTTTACATTGTGAAAAGAGATCAACTGAACACATTTTTTTTTCCCCCAAAAAGAGAGTTTGAACTGTTCTGCTTCTAACAGAAGAAATTGATTCATGAGTCTTCTGACCAATTCTCTGTTCTTTAGGGAGCCAAAGGCAGCAGGGGTTCGCCGGGGTTGGTGGGTGAAGACGGCATCAAGGTAACGCTTTCCTCACGTCCTACCTTCAGCCTTTTTCAACTGATTGAATTTTACCCGCTCTTTTCCCTCCATATCCTGGAGCTAGGTACAGGAAATTGCGATCAGAGTTCATTAAAATATGTGTAATACCTTAGTACATTTAAGAAGAAATAAGAGATGTAGCAGCATTACTTAAATGCTTGAAGGGCTGCCTCGTGGGAAAGAGACTAAACTGTTCTACGTAGTAGACGCTGGCTGACTTAGGACCAGGGAAGTTCCAGCTCCCCACAAGGGGGGAGTTGGAAAAGGTTTACAATTGCAGGAAGTTTTGGATCATTGGAAGTTTATGGGCTGAGTGGGCCCTGAGTCTCAAGCTGGGCCTCTCCACACCGAAAGGTCATCCTCAGTTAGTTGTGAAGTGTATTCCGCATTTTTTCTTTCAACAACATGTTGCAGACATAGTCAGATGATTTTCACATGGAGGCAAATGTGCAAATTCAAGGTTTATCCTATAATAATACCACTTCCAGTAGAATCCTGAAATCCCCTCTTGAGTAGGTGAGAATGGGGGTTGTTCACGCTTGGGACCCAGGGAACTGCTCACAACCCATAGCCTGGTGATTCTGTTCCGCTGATGTGGGCGAGGACTTGGGAGTGTGGAATGGTGTGAACATCCTCTGAAGGGAGTGGTGTGGAAGACACCTGGAGAGCCACCAACCACTACTTCTTCTTTAGAACAACCACTTACTGCTGCAGGACCTTGGTAACGGCTTTTGACCCAGATACAGCCCCCCAGGAAAATAATCTAAAGTCAGTGTCCCTCACACTACAACTTGGTTTGTGCATTACATCAAAATGACATTGTTTACTATCGTATTGTATATTGTTATAATAATGCATTATTGTTTAACTAAGCATTTTGCTTTTTAAGTATAACATATACGTAAATACTTTTAATGAATGTACTCATAATTTGTAACTGTCTTTTACCATAGGGGAGGAAAGGGGACATTGGCCCTCCAGGATTTCATGGTCCAGTAAGTGTAATTAAAAACAATGTCAATGTCAGATTTGATCAAGTCCTTCCAAATATCAAGGAAATTTTCAGTCAGGGTCCCTCATTAACGATTACGATAGAGGTTATAATATTTACCTTTTCATTAAACCAGGGCAAAAAAAAATAGCTGTTGTCATCATTTGTCCTCTTGACAATGGGCAAATCTTCCTCCTTGGTCCTATTTGGTCTTTGGAATGCACTAGTGATGCCTATGCTGGGCTGTGGAGAGGAAGCGAACCTTTGTTTCATCAAACCTGGTCCAAGGTGATCCTGTGTCCTGAGTAGAGTAGGAGGACAGCTGGTCACCCAGGAGAGAGAGAGCCAGCTCCACACTCTCCAGCAACTCCTGCACCTTCCAGCAGCAGAACCTCGACCATGGGTTTAATGGAGGGCCAGCAAGTGCCACTGACCCTTCTCGGCGAGGACATGGATTTGATGACTGTCAGCTCCTGACTGCAGGGTGGCCATATTCTATATTCTGTGACTCTGCAGCCTGACGGGGGCGGCGGGGATAAAAGGGGCCCAGACACTGAGACCTAGCATCTCTCTCTCCTCTCCAAAGACTGCAGTTCTCACAGGCAGTGTGCTAAGCAGGGCAGCCTCGGTTCGATTGCATAGTTTTGACAGAACAGCCTGTGGGGATGGGGGTGTCCCTATTTTAAATGTGGTTCTCTGACCCCTCAGGCCAAGTAATTTAACTCAGTGACTGAAGGAAGGTCATGGAAATCTTCATCTTTACACTACAAGCAAATAATTCAAATGCAAGTAGTCCCAAAATACTTTTATGGTGTTCTCAGCAGGAAGATGAAGTGGGCTATTTGGTGAAAGGATTCAGCCAACACTTGGCAGGTGCACAAAGGCCATTATAGATTTTATGATGGGGATTATTACATCATTATTGTTGTTGTTGTTATGAATTCTTCTTTGTGATTTTATATTTATTGCTTAACCACAAAGCTCTTGTTACCTCATCTTTAAACAAGTCAACAAAGTAGTTGGCCCCATGCAAAATGCGAAAAAACAAAACAGAGGTTTTTCTTTAAAAATAATTATATTTTCATCTTCTTTACTTCAAGATAAATGTACAGAATTCTAAGTGAAACCTACTTTCCTAGTTGCACTTTAGAGGAATTCTAAGCATTCCTGGCATACTGTATGTTATCTTATGCTCAAGTCTGTATATACCTCTGCAGCATCTACTAACTTCAGAGGAAGTTCTGCTTAGGAAGTAGATGGTTGAGGAGATCAGGCGTAGGTCCATGGGATATGTCAGAAACAACAGTCTTTGATTATTGTAAGTCAATGATGTCCTGAAATGTAAAGAAACAATCAATAGGGTATTTTTGGATGTGTAGCTCTCAACATACTGTAAAATAAATTCAGTACATCAGGACAAGCATTTTTTAAAAAGTGAAGTAGAACAGAATAAAAAAATATCAGAGTTGATCCTATGTCATAAAGGAAGTCACTATTTTATGAAACTTTAATTTCTGTGTACATAGTCACCCAGACATAGATATGTCTATATGCATGCATGCACATATATAAATGTAAGTGTGTGAGTTGGGTCATGCCGTAAAATGTATCTCTTACTGAAAGCCCATGAAATACATGATGCCACACGAGAAACATCAACTCTTATCTTTAAAGTTACCCATCCTATACACATGACTACTCTATTTCTGTGAACACAAAAGCCTATGAATTGAGGAGACAAAGAAGGAATTGAAGGAATTGCATTTGGTGAATGTCCATAAATAGCTATTCTTTCTCTTTTTTCACGTCTTTTCCCTTCAAGACAGAATATTATGATGTATACCCGCAAAAGGGAGATGAGGGGATTCCAGGCCCACCGGGGCCCAAAGGAGCACGTGGCCCACCAGGTGAGAATGAGTTTCCCCCCAAAGCACTTGCTTATCGTTTCCACCCTTCTTTCAAAGTAACACAGCCTGGCTGATAGGCCTAGAATTCACAGGTGCAGCAGGGAAGTCTCCTAATTTTCGTGGATTGTGGTATTTGTTGACGTCTTCTAATTTTCCATAAATTCATATAAAACTTCCTTTGAAATCCCATATTTTCCTATGAAATTACACTTGAAAATTTCATGTGAAACTTTTGTACAAAAATGCCATAGAAGGTAACTAAGTTGCCTTTGTGTGGAAAATCATGAAGTTCAAGTCTGGCAGGCAGACACTAATGTGGTCAGAGGGCAAGAAGAGGGCGTGTAAGAAACCTGTCATCTCAGTGAGGTTATGAATGTGGAAGTGGAGACCTGAATAGCTGGCATTGGAGCAAACCCACACAAATAGTGACAAGAGGTGACAAAGCCCTGGTTTCCTGACTCCTGGCACCATGAATTAAAGACACGCTTACTTATGTTCTATGCCTTTGATGGGTTGGAAGGGTCTAGGCCGTCAGCTCTCACCTCTGCCTTCAGTCATGGCCAAGGCCGGGTCCCATCCTTGTGATTCCGATGCAATTGTCAGGAGCAGGACTCGGCACCAGCAGGCTGGGAAGCTCCTCAGGTTATTCTCTGTGCAGCAGCAGGACTGAGAACCACCAATGCAGGCGAATCATTGATTTCAACAAGATTTCAGGGGTTTTTACTTAGAGGAAAATTATCCAGCGTGTTTAAATGAATGGACAAATACATATAGACATAAATAGATTTTTTTTAAAGGCAATATTAGAGCTAGAAGCAATCTGAGATGAGACATCAGGCCAAACTGCAGATTCTTGACAATTTCAGCTCTTTGGTTCTCTTGTGTCTGAACCATCCCCAGCAAAGCACAAACATAGAGCAGGCTCCTGGTGAATTTCTGCGAAACTATTTGAAAACAATATGGCAGCATGATTCACTTTTGAGTATTAGACACCTGAGATTAGTTTCTTTTCTGCGGTTTGTCTAAATAAATAAAGTTTTCTAATATTTGTATAAGAATGGAGGAAAAATATGAAAATAGTTATTATTATTATAATATTGTCACAAGATTTCAAAAATGAGAAGAGGGCAGTATTTATATCTCCGTAAGCAATCAATGCCTGTTATGTGTTTGCAGGTCCCAGCGGTCCTCCCGGAGCTCCTGGCAGGCCTGGTATGTGTTTCTCGGGGTGTCACTAGAAATGCTATTAAAAAGTAAACGACATTGTTCTTTCATAAATTTGCACTAGTTACATAAGATAAATCTTTCATCAATTGGTGCAAAAGTGTTTGCCAATTCTCACTTGTGCACTTTGTAACCTGCAGTGGAAAGGGAAGTGGAGGCTGGCACAGGGCGTTGCAGAAATGCTCTTTTTTACTTCCCCGTGGTTGTCCCTAAGTGTAAGACAGCAACGTGGGTGTTGGAGCAGAAGCCTTAACACTCAGAGGAAGCACAGAGATAGAAAACAACAGTTCGATGCCAGTTAGGTCGGTTAAAAATGACAGTCTTCAAGTTGTGTAAGAATTCATAGACTATACTTTTTATGTCACATTTTAAATTTTACAGTATATTGTCTATGGATACAGAGACAAGTCTGTAAAGCGTAGAAACACCGACAAGCCATTAGCACGGTTGCCTCTTGAAGAAGGAAGAAGAATTAGCATCAAGAGCAGCTCCAGAGGCCTCAGTTACAACTGAAATGCTGTCATGTGTCATTTTGTAAAGAAAAGGAAACCGAGAAAAAAGAACAAATATTTCATAAGCCCTACCATTCATTATATTTTTCCCCTATGCCATGTTTTTATATTTAAGCTATTTAATAATTTAGAAACTGAGTTATAATTAAGCAGTTTGCAGAACTGTATGTATATTACAATTCCATTGTAAAAATAGATGAATGGATAAATATTGTGTGTACTTGCATATGCATGAAAAAATTACATCAGCTGTTCACAGTGAGTATCTCTTGAAGTTCCAATGGGGCAAAAGGATATTTAAGAGGTCTAGCCAAAGGTTACAGGGGCTTCCTTCTACCTGCCAGGTCCCTAAGCAATAAACAGGCTCCTTCAAGAAGCCAGTGAGTGAAAATTGCAAAGCTCTCTAACGGCTCAATCAGAAGCATACACCTTTATGCCAAAATCCTTCTGCTCAATAATCAGAAATATTCAGATGTTACCCTCGCTGGTCTCTCAGCCCCTTGGTGGAGAGGTCTCTCTTCTCAACAATTAACCTGTTGTTGAGGCAGAGATTCAAGGCTGCCCCGTTGACGTGCTCATCATCTTAGGAGACACAGAACATGGGTTTTATACCCCAGGGCCTGGCTTCTCTCCCAGGGGGTGCCTTCTCCCCTCCCCAACGCCCTTTTCTATCTAAGACAATTGGCAGGAATAAGTCCCACTAGAACTTTCTCTCTTTCTTCTTTGGGATACAGCAAGGTAGGCACCTTATAGTCTCTAATTTAAAAATCTACAACATAGCACATATTGAAGAATTTCTCATGAAGCCCTTTTAAATAAAAATACTACTGTGCATCCCAAACTCTGTTTCAGTTTCTTGTCACAAATGACATAAATGACCTGGTGAGAATGGAGTGTTCAGAGCTCAGCTCTTCTGTGATAATTTAACAAGGTCACAGATGAAGAAAGGAAGATTTTCACTTTTTATTTTATACTTTTCAGTGTTGCAACTTTTATCAATCAGAATACATCATGTTTGGCAATTGAAAAGTAATCATATGTTAATCAGGAAAAAACTATAATAAGCTATAATAAAACTATAATGTTATTAATTTATTTATTATAATTAAATTATAATAAAATGATTCTTTTTCTCCAAGGGCCATCAAGTCCTGGCCCCAGAGGTGCCCCGGGACCACCAGGCGTGAAAGGAAGTAAAGGGGAGCGAGGAGCCCCAGGAAAGAGTGCAGTGGGGCCTCCTGGGTCCCTGGGTTGCCCTGGTTTTCCAGGCCGCCCGGGGCCGCCGGGACCTCCAGGACCACCAGGTAAAGATGCTAACAAGCCTTGTTTTGTGTACGTCGCCCGGCAGCAGATGTGTGCCAATCACAGGCAGTGGACCTTACTTGGAGCTTGGCCATCAGCCTGTGCAGGTTTTTGGAGTTACCTTTCCCCTGGTGTTTCGTTTTATCAGCCATCTGGAAAGCAGTTATGGTGGAATGACTGCTTTGCAAGAGCAGCAAAGCTTTACCCTTAATTCCCGAAGACGGCAGAGTGGGAGGCAAGGCCAAGAGTCGGAAGGCAGGGGAGGAGTAATGATTTCAAGTTGGCCGTAGGCCAAGGGCAACTGCTTGTTCAGTCCCTGGGGACTGTCTTCCAAGAGGTTGTGTAACTTCGTTTCAGGATAATCTGTCCCAAGGGAGAAAGAGGCAAACTGCTCTTTCTCATGGTCAAAGATGTGCTCCCACAGGCCTGGGCTCACCACCCCCGCACCCCTCAGGCTGTGTCTGCCTGGCTCCCAGGGCATCTCATGCTTTGATATCAGCAGGGAAACCCCAGGCCAAGATGTGCAGTCTGGGCATGAGGCAAGATGCTGCTGAGGGAGGCAGGTTGAGACCACAGAGCCACGGCCCACAGGATTTGAAGGGGTGCCTGGAGGTTCTGAGGCAGATGTCCTTTCTTCCCCATCTCTCCAAAGAGCCACTTGGCATTCTACAATGGTTGATGGCTATATAGAACCTATGAAAATATATGTCATTCTTATAGGTATTTTAAATACCTTCCCTGGCAGGTGCTTGAGAGGTCTTGTGATTTATACTCAACTCTCCTAATAACCTTAAGAATCTTCTTTGTATCAGGGACTTTTTTTTTAAAGACTTTTTTTTATTTATAGTCAATATGATTAAAAACATAGAAAATCCAAAAGAATAATCTGGAAGACGTTTAGTATTACTAAGATAATTCAGTTAAGTGCCTGGTTATGTGAGCAATATTTTAAAAAATAAAAACATTTCTTTAGGCCAATAACAATTTAGGAAATTATCCTCTTCATGAAAAGATATAATGTCCGAAAACAAAAATGCCAAGTTATGGTGTAGACCTGTATAGAAAACAAAGCAAAATAAAACTGGAAGGAAACTCTACTACGCGTCAGGGATTTTAACAATTTCTAGTCCTCCAAGTCTTTCTCCAGATGTGGCTTGCATCCTCATTTCATCGATGACAAGCTTAATGTGCACAGCTCTTGTACGTAATGGATGCTAAAATCTGGATCTGGAACCCGGGTACCACTCCTTGTCCCCTTGGAGGCCACTCTGGTTTCCTATCTACGCTTGACTAAGCGACGCCTGTCTGTCCGTCCAGTGGCAGCTTCAAATTCAAGTCCTGCAGAAAGTTTTCACCAAGGCCACACCCTGTCGCACTCCTGCTTAGCATGGCTGTGGAATTTTTTGCATTGCCTGTCTTTGTCAGTTTCCTCTATAAGAGTCAAAGCTCCCTGAGGTCAGGGACTGTGTCTTGTTTGCTCTTTGAAGTCCTATCATGTCACATAGTGAGGCTGGAACATTGTACATGCAAAACTATCTGTTGACTGAAGTATGAAGTAAGTATGAACATGGTTAAGTATAAGCAAATGTATAAATATGTAAGTATACATGTAAGTCTACATTAAATGTAAAACTCGACATCAGATTTTACTATTTAAAAATAACGAAGCGGTCATCTTAAAGACAGAAAACTGGATAACAAAATGGACAATGAAGCCGACATAATATAATACGTCCCGGGGGCCATCTGGATTAATGTTTCCACTGTTACGGTTCCACTTTGTCGCGGTGAAATTTAGGACAGCTATAGGTACTATTTTTAAATAGTGTTATCAGCATTGCCTTCAACCTATATTTGAAATGACAAGACTAAAAATTAGGTTAGAGAACAGAGCAGTTTAAGAGAAGTAGCTGTCCGTTGTAACATGATCGCAGCAGATGACATCGGAAGCCTGGGGAGAGCTTTCTTGGAGAGCTGCTTTAAGAAAAATGACAAAATCAGTTGATGTGAACCAGCCATGAGGAGGAAACACATTGACATCCTGAGTCAGAGTCTGTTTCCCTCAGTGTGTGTTAAACTTCTACAATATGTCAGGGAGATTCAGCATGCACAGAAGAATGAGACTTGCCCCTTTGTCTAAAAATGCTCACAAGATAGTCACGGAATAACTGGAACTAACATAATAAGAAAAAATAGGTTGCTTGTGTGATGAAAAACACCATCTAGTGAGTTTTCAAAGAACCATGACATCTGTATCAGAAAATATCACATGTAGGTAATGTGCAAGGAAAAGCTGGTAAACACACTTAAGCCTTGTCTACTGCAGCTAACCTTCAAAGGATGCAGTTTCCAAAACAAATATGGGGGGAGGGAGATGACTATCAAATAATACATATTACTAAAACACTTGATAATCGAAAAAGAAAGCACGTAAAGAAATGAAAAACGAGCTTTGGTGTTATCATTTTGTAGGTCATGTCATTTTTCTGAAAGGCCCCCCTGGGGGAGTCGGACCTCCAGGCCACGTGGGGCCTCCAGGAATCCCAGGCGTGGACGGACACAAAGGTTGGTTTAGTCGGTGGCGTTCTGTTAGAATAAGCCATTCTCATCACGGTGATTGTCACTGATTGTCCCCCCGAGGCAGCAATAACCCCAAACAGCAGTCAGAGACAGCGTCTTTCCCAAAAACATTAGCTAAAAGCGTTAATTCATCTATCGATCATTATTTATTTAGCACCCATGCAATAAATCCTTGGCTATTCCTAGAATGTGACTTTTCTTCTGCACTCAAAGAGAGAAACACTGAAGAATAGTAGCTTTTTATACTAAACTCAGGATTTCTTGTCTAAGAATGCGTAGAAGCTCAGACGGATAAAGCAGATACAATAGATGAATAATTTTTTATTAGTATGTGCCATATCCTACATGATTTTCACTCCATGAAAAAAGTGTTCAGTGTGAGAGAGGACTGGGCAGTTGGAAACTGTCCTTTCTGCAGCCGCGGTGTGGGTGTATGAGTGACGTAAACATACCTTTATTGCAGGGGAGCCAGGCCTCCTGTGCACAGAATGTCCGTCTGTCCCAGGGCCTCCGGGTCTCCCAGGACTGCCGGGGTTAGACGGCGTCAAAGGAATCCCAGGTACAGGCTATTTGCAAACAAGTATTTTTGCAAGTACAAAAGGTTCCATTCACTGGCTGATGGAAAACAGTAGCGGATAACTGGATGTCCTGATGTGGTTTACATGAACTCGGAGGGAGACTTTCCAAAAACATACTCGTTAATATACCGTAAGACAAAGTCACATAAAAGCTGGCATTTTCCCCTGTGTCATTTCAGTTGCTGAACTCTAGCAAACTGTTGTGTTGTCCCGGAACTGTAAACTCAGAATCTTCCAGGGGACCAGCAGGTAACTTGGAGGAGTGAAGCAATATTGCTAAACACACACCGCTTTTTTCTTCCACAAACAAATAAGTTCTTTCTTATTTTTTTCTTGGAAGACACCACCCTTCTCTGTCCATTTGTTCAAATCCTCACTTTTGATACAGTTAAGGGTGTATGCACTATTTCACGTTCTTCTTAGTGATACAAGTGCAATAAAAAAAGTATAGCAGGTCCTCCAATAATGTCATTTTATTCAATGTGGTTTCATTTTAATGTTGATGAGATGCCAGAGGAACTTAATTCTTGTTCATATCAATTAGTCTCTTTACCAAATCATCTAGGTCATTTCACCACAGTTCCAAGAACCTATCACAGACATTAGGTGAGAACTAATTGAACACCGCTGGCCTCAGTGCAGGGGACAATAGAGAGTAGTGGGAACTGTGGTAAACTGGAGGGCACATTGAAAGGGGGCAGCAGACACTCAAATCCAGCCTATTGTTAATTTGTTAATAAATCTTTCAATAAATCTTCATAAAAAGAAAGAAGTTAGAATTTTCATCTAAAAAAAATTTTTTTTTAAATAGTCATCGATTTTTGAAGGAGGGCTAAATAAAGCATATGTCACTTCCCTTGTCACCCTCTGCCAAACCAGGACTCTCTGCCCCAATGCTGTTGCCCCAGGCTGTCCCTCCCTCTGGTGGCCTTCACAAAACTGGCCCTGGACAAAACCTTGGAGTAGAAAGAGTCTCTGTGTGTTAGTTGGGTTCCTCTGCCCTTTGCACCCCACCCCTGGCTCCCCAGGGCCTCTCACATGGTACCACAGGCACTCCTGGTTCTGCCATCAGCACCTGGGTCTTTAGACACCATTATCAAATTCTTTATCATTAAGCAGTAAAAGCTCAAGTTATGGAGCCCTTGGGCAGAGTACTAGGCACCATTCTAGGTGTTGGCATGCCATGTATGCCTCCACACCTTATTCCTTACATCCACCCTAGACCATAACCCCGTGTGACAGATGAGGATGTTGAGGCATAAGATGGCATAGCTGGTAAGTGCTAGCAGCCCGGGCTCGAGCCCCATCAGGCCCCGCCCCCTGAGGCATGCCTTCCCCTCTACACCGCATCCCTTCATTGCTGAACCGGGGCAGCCCCTTAAGGCAAGTTAATGCAAAGGTCTACCTGCCACCATAGTAACAGAATGTTTGCATGTCGCCACCATCCAGGAGACATTTTCAATGGCAAGGGGTCTTTGGGGAGGCTGGTGCTCAGCCCAAGGGAAGCGGGCTCATGGTGGCAGCTGTGGGCACCGCGGACACCCGATAGAACACATGCATGCAGCGGGGGAGCCTTTTTCACTCCCAAATCCTACCCACATCTTTTTTTATTAAACATTTTATTGTTTTGTTATTATGGTCATCCCAATTGTTCCTTCTTTGCTCTCCTCTGCCCATCTCACCCCCTGCTCCCACAGTCAATTCCCCACCCTGCTGTCCATGTCCATGGGTCATTCGTACATGTTCCTTGACTAGTCCCTTCCCTTTCTTTCCCCCCCTGCCCCCCTCCCCCTCCCCTCTGGTTGCTGCCAGTCTGTTCCTGCTTTCCATGCCTCTGATTCTATTTTGTTCGTTTGTGTGTTTCCACCCCTGACTTAATAAACACCTTCCTTCCTCTGTAATCATTGCCCTCTGACATCCCGAGAGGAAAAAAGGGGCAAAGGGCAAGGGACACAGCTCTTCATGCAGTAGCTATTCAGTGCCCAAGTCTCTGGGGGAAGTGTTCTAGTAAAACAAAAACTCAAAGGGAGGGAAGAAGAGGAGAAAGGATAAAAGGAAAGCACTCATCATTTTCCTCCATTCCCCTTGAGTGACCTCTGACCCAAGGTTGGGCAGCTCCCTGCCATTGACCAACTAGTCACCCTATTCTGCTTTCCTTCTTTCCTCTACATTGGCACATGACAGGTATAGCTCGAAGAATATATATAAATAGTAAAACCATTTAGATTACTGTCAAAAAATATTTCCTGGCTTGTATGTTGCAAAAAATAAAATCTGAACAACCATTTGTTAATAAACTGGCCTGAGATTTATTTGAAAGATCCTCTAAAGGAATCATGTTTATAGATATGCTGAAATACCTATAGGAAGTATAAAATTATACAGCAAATGCAATTTGGCAGCATATATCCAAAGCCTCAGAAAAGTTTGTGCCCGTTGGTCTTGCAGTTCAACATTTAGGAATTTATTGTAAAGAAAGTAATTGGATAAATTTGGAGAAGTATTGATAAATATTCAGAGATATTTATCATAGCATTGTTTACAACAGTTAATGTTGAAAACACAATCTAAATGTCTAAAAACAGCAGTTAGCTGACTAAATGATTGTTCATTCACACAATAGGCTACTAAGTACCCATTTAAAGAGAGGCTATAAATCTATGTTTATTGATTTCTAAGTTATAAATATATATTTATTTATGTACATTTATGGATATAAAATTGTATGAGTAATATTTCTGAAAATTTTAGCAAATACTGTCTTCTAGTGGTAGATTTATGGGTGATTTTCATTCTCTTCCATTCAACTTTTTTACAATAAGCATATATTATTTTTATCATCTTAAAAAAATGTATCTCTTTAAGATTATAAAGACAAGAATCTTAGGAAGCTAAAATTTTTGAGTTCTTGTTTTTTCACATTTTCTCTTAATCTAGTGATTTATCCCCATTCTCTTCTTGTACTGTATGTTTTAAGCTAGAAATTGTCTTTCTTTGCCCAGAAGAAAACACCCCATTTTTTTCACACACTTCGTTACCCTCGCTGCTCAGAATTGGTGTTCAATGAATATTTACTGATTCATTGCTTTTCAGGGGGACAAGGGGCAGCTGGCATTAAAGGAAGCCCAGGGTCCCCAGGAAGTGCGGGTCTTCCAGGATTTCCAGTAAGATTTCATGGTTTTGAAGTTTTGATTTCAGCTTGGAGAATGGAGCACTCAGCCTGGAAATATAGCTGTACCACACATAGGTTATCAGTTTGGCACCTGGTGAAGCGCAGGCACTTACCAATACTTGTTGATTAAATGAACGAATGAATGAATGATGTGTGAATGAATTAGTGAATTTACAACCATTTAAAGTGGTACCAGAGGCAGGAAGCAGATCAGTGGCGGCCTAGGGCAGAGGTTGGGAGCAGGGACTGGCTGACTGCACATGGGTTTGAAGGAATCTGAGGGAGCAATAAAAATGTTTGAACCCTGGATTGTGGTGATTGTAACATAAATGTACTCATTTATTTTAAAAATCATTGAATTGTGTTCTGACAGAGAATACATTGTATGATATATAAATTATGCTTCAATGAAGTGGTTAAAAATCTAAATTTTGATTGTAATAGTGAATCAGAAAGTTATATATGGACAAATATATTTAAATCAAATTATCCAGAGATGCATGTTAAAATTTACCAGTATTCCAGCATAATGTGAATTATGATGATTATTTTATCATATTGAATTATATTATTGTGTGTGTTGCATTAAATTGTCCTGTCTAGCTGGACAATTTTGGAAATAAAAACAAAAACACCAAAAGGTTTTAAATTATATTTGTGGGCCGAAGAAGGGCCTAAAAAGCTATACATGTTCCATTAAAATTCAAAGAGTTCTTTTTGAGATTGTTTTTTGAGATTGACATCAAAACGACTCTACCCAAAAGCAATGCAGACTCATTTCTATACCACCCTAGGGATTCCCAGGTGCTCAGGGTGACCCAGGACTTAAAGGAGAAAAAGGTGAAGCGCCCCAGCCAGTTGGACACGTAGGTGACCCCGGGGACCCAGGGCCCAGAGGGCAGCCTGGAAGAAGGGGCTTGGATGGCACCCCTGGGACCCCTGGAGTGAAAGGATCACCAGGACCTAAAGGCGAACCGGTTGGTATCTAGCAACCTTTTCCAAATTATTCTCCCTGTAAGTGAAGTGCTCTGAAGTTAAGACGTAAGGTGATTTTCTTTCAGAAAAAATTGTCAGCCACTCAGCACAGTTCATCCCTCTGACTGCAGAATGAAGCATCTTCAAACCAGAGCAAATATTTATAGTGTTCTGACAAAATAGGTAGCACTTCATGGATTTTTTAGGACAAATAAAATTCTCCATTGGTAATGCCCTTGACTCACACACGAGTTACAATTCCACATTTGTATCAAGTGGATTTATAAGAAGTTCAGAAAATGATCACCAATGGAAAGCCTTAGTCAGTATTTTAGAGACAGTGTTTATTCTTTTCAGTAAAAATAAATGCATGAAAGGACAGAAGAGTTAGGGATAAGGTAGTCAAATAAAGAGATCAATGTTTTGTCGCCGACAGTATTTAAGCTTATGTAAATCTGATCTCTTTTCATGGGATAGAATCTGTCACATGTCATCTGAGCGATCCCTACCAGGAAGTTTGCAAGGCATGCAGCCCAGCCCGCCTGGCTTATGCAATACCAGTTTCATAGGGTTAATCGGTGTTGGCCAGTTAAAAGGGTCCTACCTCAAAGAGGGAAACCTAGCAAACAGATTTAAAGGTTCATTTACAGATTCCTCAAAGTCAGAATATGAATTGCGACTCCCCAAGGATTCGGTATGTGGTCTTCCCTGAACCTCGTTGACAACAAAGCTTTTTCTGGGTGGGAGCAGCTAGCAAGTCTGGTGTTGCTCAGCCCCTCCCTTGGCAAAGTGCCAGGCTGTTCCTCAGGTGGGAGTCATGCTTGTAGCAGGACAGGGTCTAGGGTGCTTTGGGCCTAGTGTTAATACAGTTCATGTGACACTCCCATATGCCATTTGCATCTCCCTAATTTCTTTATTAGTTCTGTCTGGTAGAGATGTTCCAGAAAGTGAGAGCAAATCAAGGAGCTGATTTGTCGTGTCTTATGCCCTGTCACTTTAAAAGAGGGACACTTGGCCACCAGTTGATATCGAATAATGAAAATTTCAGTCCATGTTGGGGAGGAAGGTGTCAAATTCAATTTCATTAAAACGTACAACTGATTTTCAATGTTACAACCTACGAGATATTTTAAAGAGACATTTTGTAAGAAAAAAATTAATACAGATGGAGAATCTCTTTTGTAATGGAAATACCTGGTGAAAACCAAACAAATAAGTTTGCTGTACTGGTTTGATTTTAGAATTGTACCGTTAGCATGAACGTCATTTCCATTGGAACTGTTGGACAATCTGAGGGTCTGTTATCACACGAGTGATATCCCGTTGTAGGACATCGCTAGTGGGTCTCGGAGTTCCAAGTGCATGAGATGTGGCTGAATTCCAAAGGGCACAAAAAGGCAGAAACCACAGGGCACCCTCCTGTTAATAATGGCTCCCTTTAAATGGCCACTGCTTTTTAACTCAGCACCTTCTCAGTGCCTGTCTAAGCGGTATTCATACTCACGGTAATGTTAGCCTATGTAAGGAAATACTGCAATGCACTGTCCAAACATGTTCCTATTGTCACAGGCCCTCAGTGGTGAGAAGGGGGACCAGGGTCCTCCAGGGGATCCTGGCATCCCTGGGTCCCCAGGACCCCCAGGACCAGCTGGACCGCCAGGCTACGGACTGCAGGGAGAGCCTGGTCCAAAGGGCGCCCAAGGAGTTCCTGGAGCCCAGGGAGCACCTGGAGAAGCCGGTTGGTTAGTTTTCTTTCCAGTCCTGTTTTCCTGTGGGGTGGGGTGGGTTGATGGTCCCTAGGGCCAACGAAGCTCCCTCAAGACCAGAGGATATATAGAAACTTGTTTCTAGTAAGTAGAATATGTCAACCCATAGAGACTGGGGAAGAACACATAGGACACGTTAAAGAAAAATGTACTTTTTCCTCTTACTGAGCAATTCAGCTAAAATTTCCTAGGACAGTCGATATCCATTACTGACTTAAATATAGGGAATGAATAGGTCCCAAGGGATGAGAGGAAGTCAGTTATAGTAAACAGAGGGAACTTGATCTTGAGATGCCTCTTCTAGGTCTCAAGGGCCCGCTAATGTCATTGCAGATTTGTTCATTTTGATTCCTAACCCCGTAAACGATTATAAAGAAAACTTCAAAATAGCTAACGCAATTGAAGAAAATTTATCTCATAATAGTTTTAAAGTCCCAGTAACTTTGGGATTTATGTGTACCGAACACAGCAGCTAGATTCGGGAAAGATCTGATTCTCGATGTTTACCTGTGGCGAAGAACGTGGTGGATGGAATAGGAGAAGTGCATGCCACTGACAGCTTTAAATAAACAATGCTACCCTGGTCAAGTTTTACTCCTTAAATCACTTAAAAGGGTGAGACCCAATGAACCAGCGGTCTGCTAATCTTCTTATGACACCCCTCACTGGATACAAAATTTTGAGTGGTCATCCCTACAGTATTCATATATAAATTGTTTGCATGCATTTCTGCCCACACATGTGCATAAGCTGGCTTTAGGCTAATATGTGCAGTGTATTTTTCTTCTGTGCCTCACTTTTGAGGCTGCTGTCTACCTCTAGCTTACCGCTTACTTATGGATGGTCCAAAAGCTAAGAATGCTTTTTTTAAAAAATGATTTGCGGGGCGGGGGGGGGGGATACCTTTTGAATAGTATTCTGTAACAGGTGAAAATTATATGAAATTCAGGTTTCGGTGTCCGCAAGTGAAGTGTCATTCAGCCCCACTTGCTCATTAACAGCGTCCTGGCGGCTGCTCTCCTGCTCTGATGGCAGAGATGAGCGGCTGCGACAGAGGCCTTCTGGACCACAAAAGTGCAATGATTCGCTCTGCGGCCGTGGCAGAGAAAGTTTCCCCAATGCTCTTGTCCTCCATCTCCAAATCCTTTTCTGCTCTAACTGTGAGTCTTTAGTGAAGGACTCCAATGTCTTAAAACATAGTATCATCAGATTTTCCCATATGTATATATTTCTATATACAATACTAGTCACTAATGTGTTATTAATATTGTTCACTGAGGTCAGAACATTAGCTCAAATCTTAGCCAGCTGGGTAGGCATTATTTCCACAATGACACATGAGGAACTTGTCGGGGAGCCTAAGAAATACGTCCAACCTCACAGACCTTACGAAGAGCAAGGCCAAGATTCAAGCCCAGATCAGCTCCATTTCATGGTCTGTGCGATAACTATACTTTCTTCCCGTGAAAACTAGTTTCCCAATAAATAAGTGCCCTACTGGTATTCACCAATATTTAAGCAGAATTCATATTGTCAATTTTTTTTTAGAATAGGCTCTCCTCTGATAGGCCAGCATGTCGGGCTATTAATTAAAACAAGGCTTAGAGAATAATAGCTGCTTATAAATATTTGTCAGTTGAATAAGAAAGTTTCTATGAAGCCAATTTTGACGCCTATGTAAGCAAAGGCTATTTTTCAGATTCCTTGGAATATGTCTGTAACCCCCTTATTATCATATCCTATAGTATACATCTATTCTCTTTCTGAACCAAGAAAAGCTTCAATATACACACTAATCTTACGATCATAATTTTTTAAGGTCCTAAGGGAGAACCCAGTGTTTCAACATCAGTCCCTGGGCCCCCAGGACCTCCGGGGCTCCCCGGCCGTGCTGGACCCCAAGGCCCACCTGGTGAGTATCACCTTTGCCAAGCCTGGTGCACAGCAACAGATGGCACCCTGGCTTTCCCGGGAAAAACACGGCCCCCATTCTAAGGGAAAAAATGCATTAATTGGCTCCCAAAGAGAGCACAGGCCAGTTTTGTCAGAGAAGCAACCAACAGGCAGGGGACTTGCTCTTGTCCTTTGACGCTATCGAAGTTATCCCATTGGTGCTTCTGATTCCAAAAGAGGACTGATATTCTCTTAAGAAGAATTCGTGAGCAGAGCTGTTTTCATGGGTTTTGGTGGAGGAGCAAGGAATGGTTGCCTGTGGTTAGTTACTACAGTGTCCATAGCTTATTCATTGGAAAATTTAACTTCTTTGGCAGTATGATCTAAAACTTAATTTTGCATGCATGGAGGGAGACTTACATAGTTCAAGATATCTAGAATATTTCCTTTTAGGAGTTAAATTATAATTTCAAAATTATTTGCAGTTCCTAATGATGATTCCATTGCATAGGAATAGGGAGGAAGTCAGGGTTATGGTAAAATTACTTCTTAACATCCAAACATGTCTGGGAGGACACACTGACTTAGACATTTGGTGTTCAGGCAAGATAAAGGAAAACCGCTGATGTGGTTGTATTGTGTTGTTAAGGTCTCCCTGGGCCCAAAGGAGAATATGGTGACCCAGGGATTCCCGGGCCTGACGGCGATGCAGGGATTCCAGGAATTGGATTCCCTGGGCCTCCGGGACCCAAAGGTAAGTCAAAAAACTTAAAACATAAGGTTCATTGTGGATATTTAGAAACTATAAATATATATAATGAATAACATGAGAAATATCCCTAATATCCTTTAAAGTGATGTTTTCCTTCACTCTTAAATGGGAAAAGAACCTTACAATAACATTAGATAAAAAGGTTTAATTCACATTGAGGTATGCAATCTCATCTCAATCATATTTTTTTAAAAAACTAGAAGGAAACTCACCAAAATGATACTTCTTGAGAGCAGGATTATGATGAATTCTTTCTTTACTTCTTAATAGGTGCCTACACTTCTTACATTTACACATTTCTTCACATTATGCATTTCTTTTCTAATTTAAAAAAAAAACTATTAAATCACACATAGCTGATTTCCTTATACACTCCAAAATAAATCACAGAAGTTATTTTCCTTTAGGAAAAATAAATGCTGTTTCTCATCCAAGGGGACACTCCAAAGAAATCCAGATGCCAAGAACTTAAACAATAAACCTGAGGCTCCCCTCTGACAACTACATCAATGTCCTGTCCAGGAGGACTGGGCTGTCACATGGAACTTCACAATTTACAATAATTTTGTGTTTGTTTCAATAATATTTAAAGTGTTTGTCAAAGTATAATCCATTTTTGGTGCTTTACCTCTTAAGTTAGTATACCTTCGATGTTTATCATACATCAGTTCTGCCCAAACTTGGGAATATTGATCCCAATTTATGAGTACTAGAAATAAAAAATGTACTCAGATTTTTCATGTGGTGCCAAGAATGGCTTTGGCTGTAGTTTCTTGGGCACCACATGAAGACAGTCGCATCTTAGCTGCATCCCCTTCTGGAAGGAGACTCTTAACCGTGGGCACCAGGACTGGTCTCAGAGCTCCTGGGAGCAAAGAGTAAAAATGTCCCAGTGAAATCTGAGGAATCCCGTGAACTGACTGTTATTTGAAACTGGTCAAATTAGGGGCACAGAGGAACTCTCTGAAGGCAGCTTTGCTCCATCAGGGTTTCCTCTTCTGAACCACATAACAGAAAAATAATGTGTCTGACTTCTTTATCAATTCTCCCATCATAAGTGCATAACAGAGCAGGTAACTGACTACATTCAGTGGTAGCCATAAGGCATTAGAAGTAATTCTCATGAACAATCCATGCTGAGAAAGGCTAGTCAGGTACCAGAAGTGCTTTATATCTTGACCTGGGTCATGCTTGCATAGATAAATGCATACACACATATAAATATGTATTTGGCTGTACACTCAATATAAAATGGACTTAAAAAAAAATGTTGCCCTGGCTGCTGTGACTCAGTGGATTGAATGCCAGCCTGGAAACCCAAGGGTCTTTAGTTTGATCCCCAGTCAGGGCACATGCCTGGGTTGTAGGCCAGGTCCCCAGGACGGGGTGTGGGAGAGGCAACCACACATTGATGTTTTCCCCTCTTTCTCCCTCCCTTTCCCTCTGTCTAATAATTAATAAATAAATAGAATCTAAAAAAGAAAATGTTGGCCAAATGGTCAACCAAGATCAGTGGTTTAAAAAAAATACTTAATCAAAATTGTAGTGGCACTAAACAACAAAAATGGAGAAAATAATCTCAAAAATTGAGAACCAATGTAATCTGATTTGGAATTGATTTTTTAAATTGCTAATGTAGCCATTGGCTTTCTCTACATTCAAAACTTCCATAAAATCAACAGCTACTTGCTTCATAAAAACACTCAGTAAAATAAGAGAGATACCACCCAGAATCTTTTAACACTAATTATACAACCTTTATTATTTTTTTCCCTGTAGGAGACCGAGGCTTTCCAGGAACAAAAGGATCCCCAGGTTATCCTGGAGAAATGGGAAAGCCAGGGGTACCTGGAGATCCAGGCCTCCCAGGAGCCAAGGTGTTTGAGAATTAAAATTCAGATTGAAATGGGGAAGAAGAGGAGTAATCACAGTTGTCTAGTTAGGATGTTCCTGCCAGTCAGGAGGCTCTATGTGTAGAAATTATCAATATACTTGTAGATGATAAAAGTGATGAATTTTTTAAAGTTTCTCACACCATCCCCCCCTTTTAGGAAGGAAAATAGAAGATGTTAGAGGACAGGTTTGCTTTTCTATTTCTTTCTTAATCTTCAGGAACATTCATATTTAAAATGGGAAAACTCTAGAAAGAAACCTGGATCGCTAGCTGTGAGAAAAAAACTAGAGGCATCTAGACTGTTTACAGAAAATCCTACAAATTCTGGAAAAGTGGAGGCTCTAAAGAATTATTGAACATTATTTTATTTTTTAAAAAAGTCAGCAAATAGAGTTGAAAAGGAGAGCTGATAGAATGGTAATGACCAATGAAGAGAGGGACCTAGAACCTCTATGACGAAGAGACCATTTTCAAGTAAAGAGCCCTAAAGACCAGCCAATAGTCGGTAGGACTTAGAAGCATTATCTAGTAAAACTAACATAATTTCTGTGCTATAGGGAGAACCAGGACTAGCCATGCCTGGAGAACCAGGAACACCAGGTTTTCCAGGAGAAAGAGGCAATTCTGGGGAAAATGGAGAAATTGGACTCCCTGGATTTCCAGGTCTCCCTGGAATTCCAGGAACTGGAGGGCTTGATGGACCACGAGGTACAATAGCAAGTGCGATTATTTTTCTCCCCTGAGCTCAGCTAAAATGCAGCAGACTGAATGTGTAGGTGCTCTAGGGGTGAAGAATTCTCCAACAGAGTTCTAGATCAAGAAGTAGAATCTGTAGGGCCTAATTATTTTTCCATTCGACATTGTTGCTCTACCTTTGTTCCTTCTCTCCTTCTTAATGAGTGTCCTCTATATAAGACATATTAATGGTATTAAATATTGATCAGATTTAAGGGGGGAGAAGTTACAGGAGAATGCTTGGGATAGCAGTACTAGGACCTTGAGTGTTGGCCCCTGAATATATTCTTGGACTCTCTTTTACAGGGGATCCAGGGCAGCCTGGACCTCCTGGAGAAAAAGGACTCCCAGGAAGATGCATAGAGGGTCCCAGGGGAGACCCAGGACTTCCAGGCTTAAATGGATTGGAAGGGCAACAAGGTAAGGGGAGGGCCACAGATCAGCCACTGGATGGGCAAATGGCACAGGACTCCTGCTCTGTGTTTTGCTGTGTAATGTAAGGACTGTTCAGCAACAAGCCCTGGCCCACTGTTCACTGGGAAATGGTATGAAATATAAACAAACCTTCTTGTCATGGATTTGTTACAGTGAGTGCCACCTGTAGAATAGGAAACATGAAGTTAATATGGTGCATTGATTTGTGTCTTGCGAGAAAATATAAACACTAAATATGGATATAGATGTATATTTATAAATATATATATACACACACACACATATAAACTCTCAGAAAAAGTTTTACAAGTATATTAAAGGGGTACATTTATTTATCTTTATTATTAAAATAGAGTGAATTTTCTGTTTAGTAAGTTTTAAACTAAAATACAAGATTTGTCCTGAAGGTATCCAGCCGTGTAATGTGAAAAATGGAGCTATTTATTGAAAAAGACACAAGACACAAAAAAACATTGTACATAGGACAATGAAACCTTGGTCCCTTTCAAAGTAGGCACCTTGGGACCTCACACAGTTCTCCCAGTTGCCATCAGCTGCCCTGCCCTATTATCCTGAATCTCATCGGTGGTCTTAAGTCTCTTCCTTTCAAAGGTGATTTTAGTTTTAGGCAAAGCCGGAAGTCACAGGATGCCAAATCTGGGCTGTAGGGGGGATGAGTCACCTGGGTGATTTGATGTTTTGCCAAAAACCTCTGCATGAGATGTGATGCATGAGCAGGGGGCGTGTTGTTGTGATGAAGCTGCCAATCACCAGTTGCCCATAGCTGTGGCCTTCTGAATCACCCCAATAGTTTCCACGGAGGATATTCAAGGTCAACACAAAATCTGATGCAGATTCATTGCTCTACTTGCTCAGTCACTTTGAATGCGACGGCTGCACAGTACACACGCTCACTCAAGAGCACCTACTGCCCCCACTGACTAGTACAGTGAAGTTGTCGTTGTTCACACATACACACTCCAGTCCACTCTCCTTGGCTGCCAGATTACATCGATGTCATGGAAACAGTTCCCATTATATTAATAATGGCTGGACTTTTTCCAGACAGACCTTGCATGTAGTTGATTGCTTTAAATCAATCTAAGAGAAAGGGTATAACAATAAATCTCAATTATGCAGACTAGATAGTCCAGATAATGGGAAACTTACTCATTGTCTGCCTAATTTAGATTTCAACGAGATCTGTGAGCTATTTCTGGGAAAAGTCCTTTAAAACTGAGCCAATGCTTAGCATACCTCATAAGCAAATCTTTGGCCAAGGCATCAATGGTTGTTATAGTGCTCTTATTGTTTCCAGAGGCGCACTCAATGTGAGTGGCACCGAATGTGTTCTGCAAGTTACAGACTGAGCAACAGTCATCAGTGCAGTCCCGGGATGTGCCTGCAGGACTGGGAAATAGATCTAAGTTCTACATTTTTATTACTGCATGAGACATTGAAACAGAGAATGTTAAAGCCAGAAGGGATCTTAAAGTTTTTATAGGAGGGGAAACCAACCAACCAAACCACCAATCAGTCCATTTAATAAGTGTATGGTTTATTTAGCCCAAAAGCACAAAGCTAAACATTTACAACCATAAAATATTTCTGGTGTTTGCAGGGAAAGCACTTGTGTGTTCTTTTCCTTCCTTCCTTCCTTCCTTCATTCATTCCTTCCTTCATTCATTCATATGTAGGCAGAAAAGGTGAAACAGGACAAAAAGGAGACCCAGGAGTTCCAGGCATGGGTCAGCCAGGATTTCCTGGAGAACCTGGACCACCAGGAATGCCAGGTCATCGAGGGGAGATGGGACCGCCTGGTCAGAAAGGATATCCAGGAGATCCAGGATTTTTAGGGCCACAAGGTATCCTTTCTTGTGCTTTTATTTATTTTTATTTTTCAATTACAGCTGGCATACAATATTGTTAGTTTCAGGTGTACAACATAGTGATTAGATATTTATATATCTTATGCAGTGATCACCCTGATAAATCTATTACCCGTATTACACCATAGTTATTACAATATTATTGACTATATTCTCTATGCTGTATTTAACATCCTTGTGACTATTTTGTAACTACCAATTTGTACTTCTTAATCCCACTTTATTTTAAAGTCTATTTTGTCTTATATAAGCATTGCTATCCCAGCCTTTTTTATTCCCATTTTCATGAACTGTCTTTACTTTCAGTCTGTGTGTGTTTTGATCTAAAGTGATTCTCTTGCAGACAGCGTAAGGGTCTTGTTTTCTTATCCATTCAGTTTTCTGAGGTCTTTTGACTGAACATTTAATCCATTTACAGGCTAGGCCTGAGGCCACTTAACAAGAGGTACTGGGCAAAACAAAGTCAGGTGCTGCTTGCTTGGGGTTAGTGAAACTTCGGGAGATTTAGGAAAGTCCTCAGCATGAACCAGAACAGGCCATTTGTATGGAAAAGCCACTGGAAGTGCTTGGGTGGGCCCAGGAGCTGGATGGGGTGGGGTCTCAGGGAATCAGCAGTTCGGGGTGAACCATGTGAGCCAGGCTGATGAGACTCAGATATGGTGTCTGTAGTCTAGGTGGGGGTGAGGGTGGGGTGGGGGAGGGGTGGGCTCAGGCAAGGAACAAAGGCTTCTGCTGCACTTGTGTGGGGAGAAAGCTATCCCTCCAGCCCACACCCTGAAGCCAGACAATTCAGTTCCTTCCCGTAAGTTCTGGGCACCTTCTGAGCTGCTGCCCCAGTGCCGAATCTCAGAGCAACTGAGTCCAAGTCAGTCAGTGTAAGGGCCGTTTAAGAGGAAGCCCTGGGACTCTAGAAATGTACTGTCTCAGCCACAATCCTCTCTGGTTTTTATAGACGGAAGTTATGGGACTTCTCTTCTTGGCACTGGAACCCTGGGCAGGGGGTCCTGGTGTGGGACTGGGACCCCTCTCTCCTCAGGGAGGACCTGCACTGCCCAGATATCCCTCCTGATTTTTATCCACCACGTGGGTGTGGGACCAGCCCGTTCCTGGTCTCCACCAGTCTCTGTGGCTTCTTCTTTAATCCTTAGTTGTAGGACTTCTGTTCAGCTAGATATCGGGCAGTCCTGAATGATAGTTGTTCTATATCTTTGTTGTAATTTTGACGTAGTTGGAGGAGGCAAGCCTCCAACTTTACTCTGATGGGAAGAAGCTATGAATCTGTGCTTTTTTTCTCCCACTCTTTTCTTTCGCCTTTTCCTTTAAGGTGGCTCTCTGAGCTGGACATGTGCACAGGTTTCTGTCTCTGTGCTTCCGTTTCAGTGAGTGGAAGTTTTTCTTGTGAGTGATTTGTAAGGGGCTGGGGGCAGGGAAGTGGTCATGATGGCAGTGGTCACTGAGATTTCACAGTGACCTAGGATATGACTGTGTTTGCTGTGGAATCCTTTGCATGTGTCACTACTAAAATATATTTGCTAGTATTGTGTTGAGAATTTTGCATCTATATTTATAAGAAAAACTAGTCTCTTTTTTCTTTTCTTATGATTTTTTTTCCTGGTTTTGGGTCAGAATAATGCTGGTTTTATAGAACAAGACAGGAAGCGTTTTCTCCTCTTGTATTTTCTGGAAGAGTTTGTGAAGAATGGATATTCTTTAAACATTTGGTAGAATTTTCCAGTGAAGTCATCTGGTTCTGGGCTTTTTTGTGTGTGTGGGAATTTTAAAAAACTACTAATTCATCTCTTCATTTGTTATGGGTCTAATCATAGTTTTCTACTTCTCCTTGAGTCAGTTTTGTTAATCTGCGCCTCTCTAGGAATTTGTCCATTTTCTCTAGGTTACCTAATTTGCTGGTATGTTTAATAGCTATTCCTATCATCCCCTTATAATTCATTTTATTTCATCACTATTTTTATTGTTTATATGTTTGGGAAAAATATTCTAATATTCTCTTCATGGCACAGAACATCACTGACCTTTCCTCTAGAGAAGAGCCCAGAATAACAATCTTGCAAATTATTCTTTCATTCATACGATGGAGCTGTTATCATGAGCCAGCACTGTCCAGGGCCTAGAGACACATCAGTGGACAAGACCCCACTTCCAACAGTGGGGGACAATAACAAATACATTAGCTTTAAGTTAACTCTAAACAACTGCTATGAAGGAAGTAAAATAAGGGAGTATAACGGAAAGCTATTGGTCATGGACTGGGAGGATAGAAAGGTCCAAAACTTAAACATATTCTATTCTTACCCACAAACGTGATCTGCCACCAGTGACTTTCACATACACGATGCAATAGAAATGGTTTACTGACCCATCTCCTAGACAAATAAGATTATTTTCCTGTTTACACAAACCATTCCTTCAACTCCCAATCTCTCCTTCTAAGTGTAGTTTATTTGATGTTACGGAGCATTTGCTTTTCTCGAGCTGCCTATGTGCTGCCTTGTGTTACTTTGTTTCCGCAGGTGAAAGAGGAATGGTCGGGATGATGGGCTTTCCGGGCCACACTGGCCTCCCGGGGCCTCCCGGGAACCCTGGCCCGCCTGGACAAAAGGGTAAGCGGACGGCCGGGTTTCCCAGCTCTCAGGAGGAAGGAACAGCAAAATAACCTATATTTTCTTCTTTGAGGGGAAAACAGTTCTGAGAGAACCATGCATTTCATTTTGCTGTTTCCTGTGTTTCTTTTTTCCTTTTGAACGGGATCGTGTTTTTCCCTACAGGCTTATGTGCTACATTCACATAACCGCCTGTTTCGGGGAACTTTTGTCAGCTCTGTTAAGCTTATTGGCTGATCTGTTTTGTTTTATGGTAAGCACAGTTAACTTTTGAATCCTTATGAACTACTGAAAGAATTAAGGAATTGCTGTGGTTCCTCCTGTCTGATAGGTAGCTTCGGAATTCCAGGGGCCAAGGGTGAGAGAGGACCCCCGGGAGCCAAGGGGGAAAAAGGAGCTAAAGGACTTCACGGGCCGTCTCAAACATTCCAGATACTGGGGGACAAAGGAGAACCGGGCCTCAAAGGTACAGACTGCCTTAGATTTAGAACCAGAACATCAGGGCTGATTCTGAGACTAAGAACTATCCAGGCAAATCCTTCTGGTTGGCAAACAAGGACAGTGAGGGCCAGTGTTTTAATTTCCTGTCCACAGCCAGTTGGTGGCCAGTTGGTGGCCCAGCCTGAACTAGAACTGGGTCTCCTGTGCTTTGCACAATAATATGTTGCCTCTTTAATGCATAACTTTTTCTTTCTAAGTCAGTTCTGCATTTTGGTTTGTTGTTTTTAAATTTTCACTAGTCGGTTTTTAAATCATAAGCCTCAATACCCCCTATTCGACAAATAAGGTGAAGACTCAACCCTTAGGAAATGCCATATTAAAAATCCTCGCTGAAGTAGAAACCTCTGCCCCAAGTTCCACCATATTCAGTCAATGGTCAGGATCAAGTTTTCTCATTGCATCCGAATCTCATGCTCAAAATCCTTTGGAAAATAATTACTAAAAAGAAAGTGTGTTTTAATTGAAAATTAATGCTCTGGACATTTTTGCTGTTCATTGTTAGCTGTAGCTATTAGACTAAAATTTAAACACAAATTGTTTTATTTGAGTACTTTCTGTGACAGTTTTTGTTCTATGATGGATATACCCAATAAAAAATCAAATTTTAAGAAAACCTGCCTTATGATCTTCTTGACTAATTTTAATCCCAAGTGATTTTATAAAAACAGAGAATTGCTGGATAAAATGAAATATTTGAAGATCAAACTTTTACAACAGAGAAGAATGAAGAAAAATATATATTTGCAGTTGCAAAACCATATTAAGTTTTGAGTAATTTGTAATATATTTTGAGAAGGATTGTACTCAACAAATATTTATGTACTGGGCACATAAGGACTTATAGTCCAAGTAGATTTGCTTTAAATTTAAACATTCTGCACAGGTGTGTAATGTAGACCACGCTAGAAAGACTGAATAGTTGTCTTTCTCAGAATTAGGAAGGACTTCAGAGAAGTGATATTTGACCAGCATCTGGAATGTGATTGAATCCAATTAATTTGCCAACCTAAAAATAAAAAAAGGATAATCATTAGAAAAATCAATTTATAGAAAGTTATTTTTTTAATCCATAAAGGTAGTAAAGGCCTTTTGAATAGTCATTACTTATTCTAGTGTCAAAGAAATAGTTTAGTTCTGGGGGCAAACAAGACTGCATTACATTTTTGCAATGGAATAGAAAGTAATATGGATTTTATAAAAATCTGCTAGAACTGGTCTAAGCCAAGATATGACAAAATAATGTTGCCACAAATGTCCAGTCCTCATAAATTGTCTACATAAACACCACTTCACTGGACTATCCTAGATAATTCAGGAAGTATTAGAAACATTTTGAAAAGAATGTGAATGGCATATCTGTGCCTACATAAACTAAAATTTGACTCTAACACCATGAATGCACAATGGGTACTAATTTATAATTAAAGAATTCCTTTTGTAAAGAACAGAAGGGCACATGCTATTTTTCTGGTTCCAACAAACTTCTTTTTGCTCACCCAAAGTTCAACATGAATGGAAACTGTCATGTTTGTTTGTTTGTTTTGGCTTTTTAAATGCATAACCAAGAAGCAGAGATTGAAAAACAACAAAAAGATCATACTATTTAGGCCTCTCTAATTTGAATACAATCCATTTTTTGAATCTTGATTTCTAACTCAAAGACATCCGCTGCAAATGGATGAGATATTGAGGGTACAAACAAGCATAATTGGGGTCGTCTCCTAAATGAGCCTGCACGAGAGCCTCAGGTACATGCATGGGAAGACAAAGAGTAATATTTTTGATCAGGAAAATAATGTGATCAAAGCCATGTTTTACAAAAGTAGGATGGTGTTATGGGGAAGTTTATGAGCTTTCCAGCCTGCAGACCTGGGTTCAAATCCAAACATTACCCTTGAGTGACAGTGTGGCTCTAGTATTGGTCCGTTGACTACTTAGAGTCAGTTTTCTCATCTCTGCCCTTTCTCTGGAAAGGCTCGAGGAGAGACTGAGATTGCCTGAAGATTAAATAAGATAAATAAAATAAAATGCCTGTCATGTACTAGTTATTAAATAAACCATAGTTTTAATAAATGGATTGAGAATGGGACAGTCTAGACAAAATATGGTCCTCTATCATTACTAAAATAAAACAAAAAGCTGTTCTTAGGCCATAAGTTCTTATACTGTTTGTTTAAAGTGTAAATATAATGATAATTGCTAGGCCTCTGAGTGCTAACTCACGCCAGTCACTGTGCTAATAGTTCACACATATTCTCAGTTAATCCTCTTTTAAAAAAGATTACGTCCACATCTGCCCATTCTCTTAACAAATATTCCATACTCCATTATAATAATACCTCATCAGTTTTAATCAGGATGTAGATAACCCTGAGACACTTCTAACCTGTATTTTTAACCCACTGTTTTTAACTGCAGGATTGGCAGGGAGGCCGGGGGAGAAAGGAAGCAGGGGCACTCCAGGGTCACCGGGCCTAGAAGGGCTCAGAGGGCCACCTGGACCAGCAGGACCACCAGGTAGAGCTGATTTTATAAGAGGAATATCAGGGTTTAAGTTTTCCTTGATCTAAATGTAACAAAGGTGTGTTTCTAGTCTTCCAACAGAAATTTGCTTCTCAATTAAACCAAAATGAAGGTGTGCATAGTCAGCCTGTGTTAACTAAAAAATATGAAGACAGACGAAGTTCCATTTTTATACTCAAAATTTTATTTTGAAACTGCTACCATGTATTATAAACTTTAATTTATCACCGTATCACATATCTTAGAGGAAAATCAGATAATGCTTTAGGTTTCTGAATTTTCCCCTTCCTTTTTTAAACTAAGGTTATCAACTTTGCAAAAAAATTTTTAAACAATTAAAGTGGCTCCCATACTCTCTATGATCACATCAATAGCATAATATATTACATGGCAATACATTTTCAGTATAGAAATCTATTACTCTCTGGTTACAGCCCACCGTAGTGCCCCCCCACCCCTCCCACGTTTCCTGCTGGCCTTGGTTCTAAGATGATTTTGATGGTAAAAATCCAGGCCTGCTGACAAGAATCTAACTGTCTCTAATTTTATATTTCTGGGTCCTCAAGCCCCTCCTTATATGAAGGCAAAAAGGCAGCTAACAAGTACTTAAACCAGCTGGCCTGGCTGCTCTGGATACATATTTTCATGCAAGCAAGAAATATTTATTGAGCGTCCTGTGTCCAGAGGCTACACAGAGCATGTGACTGTTTATTTGTTCTCCAGGCCCCAGAGGAGACCCTGGAAGCACTGGAAGCCCTGGAGGACCCGGACCCCGTGGCCCGCCAGGAAGCATGGGGAACATGGGGTTACCAGGTAAAGTGGATAAAACCCTGTTACGAGTTTACAAGTTCATGATGAGCCCCAATTCTAGATTTTTTGTGTTGTTTGTTGTTTTGGTTTTCCACTTCTGAGAAAGCTGGTGTAAAACAACTAGATTTACTTTCAGACAAATGTATTATGCACAACTAGAACACTAATGAGAACAAAACAAGTATTCACACTGTGTTAAAACCATCCATTATGACTACCTGATACATTAGTGATACAGAAAAGTCAGCTTCCTAGGAGAAAGGTGGTTTTTGCAAAGGCCAGAGGTAAACAAGATGTCTGTGTTTAACTATTTTATCTGATTTCTTTCCTAATTTCAGGGTCCAAAGGAGAGAGGGGAACTTTGGGACTCCCGGGTCTACCTGGAAGACCAGGCCTCCCAGGTATTCATGGTCTCCAAGGAGATAAGGGAGAGCCCGGGTACTCAGAAGGTGCAAGGCCAGGACCGCCAGGACCAAAGGTACACAGGCAACTGAAGTATTTACATTTTGATGATGGAATGAGTCCCTTTAAATATGTAGGATAGAGATTCAATGTGGGCAGAGGATATTTTAAAATTATCATATTTTCAAGTAGTTATTTGGTTTTTTAAATCTTATCTTCACAACTGAGTATGCCTATCCCACACTGAGAATTAAGTCAACTTAATTCATTCCCACCGGTTTCAGCTGCCAAGGAGTTTAAGTGCGCTGCCAGAAGGAGGCAGCGATGAAAGGCTCACACAATCTAGCAGAGCAGTGTTTGTTGTTCCTGTGACACAAAGCAAGCCAATCTCTGCTGTGGACTCATCTCACACAGACTTAAAAAAATAAATTTCCGTACCCTGTAATGAAAAACACTTGACTTACTAAATTATAATAAAAGACATAACATAAAATAAGTTTAGAGAATCATCAAGAAGCACACAAAATCCTAAGATACATATATTTATCCTAATTGTTTTGGAACTTGAATTATTTTCATTCCATTACATGGAATTTTATTTTGTTTCAATGTCGTGCTGTTAACTGGAGGTTGCATTTCAAAGCCCTTGTTAGCGTGCTGTACCAATTAACAACCAAATGTTTCAGTGGGGCTCAGTTGTTTTTTTTTTTTGTTTAGGTTTACTTTCTTACAACCTTTCTGTGACAATAAGAGCCAAAGCTAGATCATTAAGAGAATGATTACTAGAAGTTCCCATAAGTGGGAGTTTTAACACAGGATTCCATGCATCCCTAAAGAAATCTGTGGGACCCCAGGAAGTCTGTTAATCTCCTGAAATTGAATGTGACATGAATGAAAATTTTTGTATGCAAGGGTCTGTATTTTTTATCAGACTTTCAAGAATATATGACCCCCCAAAATATAAAACTTGTTACTTAGGGGTCCCCTTCCTTGACTCTCTTTTGAGCCAATAAAATACTACCTTTCCTAAAGATTTCCACCAGTCATGTTCTCCAGCAGTAATGGTTAAAACAACAAGGAAGAAAAGTTTTAGAAGCCACATGGACCCAAGAAAGCAACCCTTTATTACTTGGAGCCCAGATAAACTTCCTTTGCCCTTTTTTAGAGTAGGTCTTCAGACAACCAGGGCGATGCTCTTTCCACTGAGATGTTTCCTCAGTGAGGAACCATTTTATGCTTAACTCACATTCAGTTAAGTAACAGCTTCATTGAGGTTTAGGGTTTTCATAGGGAACCACAGAAGAAATGTTCAGAACTGTATACTGAACACAAAATGAGCTGGTTTTACCAGGCTAGCAAATCCTAGAAACAGAGTATATTTTAATCAGCTACTATGGAGATTTTGTAAGTAATGACCAAATCCATATGTGCTGGCTTATCATAAAACTAAAGTACAGATTTAAAGAAGGGGTTGTTTTTTGTTTTGTTTTTTTTACATCTGATTGACATACATTTATTTTTATGCATAGCATTTGTAGAACTTATATTCCTTTGGTCTCTCTTTCTTACCCCTGAGTTAATCATCACAATTCGAAATTATACATCCGTGTGATTGAGCATCTCCCCACTGGTCTCTAAAGCTCCATGGAGGCAGGGGCTGTATATCCCCATATCTGAATATGTCTGTTATTACACTCCCAGGGAGAGCCAGCTCCATGGGCACGTGACCCGTGCCGTCACAAAGGTTGGGTGCTAAGGACTACTCTCAGCTGCCACTGTCTTGAATTGCTTTACAAAATTTTTAAAGGGACCTGGGCCCCATAAAACATGTAGCCATCCTGTTCCCAGCACCCCTCACAGCGCTGGCACATAGCAACACTCAATAGGAACTGCTAACTAACCGACTAGATAACAGTGATAGTAAAAAATAAATGCAAACAATAAAGTTTATACTTAATTCCGATCACATATCCCACTTACGTGAGAATTTTAAAGGTGTTTGACTGAATTTAAGGGAGAACCAGGATTGCCAGGTGACATGGGAAAGAAAGGAGAAAGAGGACCACCTGGCCCACCTGGATATTCAGGGCCTGCTGGACGTGACGGAGCCCCCGGAAGTCCCGGAAGCCCTGGTCTCCCAGGTGAGCAATGGCTTCACAACTCCGAGAGCTGGGAGCAAGACACTTAGCAAGGCTCTCACCTCCTAGAATCATCTCTGCGGACAGAAAGCTATTTAGGCTTTTGTACTATAGTTGCTTTTATTCAACTTTGATCTTCAAATTCTAAGACACTAAGAAACAGCAAATTACTCAGGAGGAGCCCTATTTACTGATCAGCCAGTTTGGTGGACTGAAGTCTAAAAACATGCTCCCATAAAGAAAACTTCTAAGGTTCTGCCTCAAGGAATTCAGCCTAAAGATGTGAGACGTGAGTTCATTGACCAATCTTATGATGGTTGTAATAGTTTGCTAGGGTTTCCAGAACACATAGCACAGAGGGGGTGTCATAAATAACAGAAATTTATTCTCTCACAATTCTGGAAGCTGGTAGTTTGAGATCAAGGTATTGGCAGGGTCGATTTCATCTGAAGCCTTTCTCCTCGACTTAGAGATGGCCACCTTCTCCCTGTGTCTGTCCTCTGGGTCCAAATATCTTCCTTACAGGGACACCAGTCATATTGGAGTAGAGCCCCTCTAGTGACCTCACTTTAACTTGCCTCTTTCAAGACGCCACGTCCATGTATAGTGATATTCTGAAGTACTAGGGATTAGGACTTCAATGTATAAATTAGGAACCCACACAATTCAACCCTCCACACTGTTGTGATTTTTTTTTTTTCCTAGCATGTTCCCAGGTTGAACTTTGGCTTTCTATCTTATTTACTTATAATTCAGGTTTCCATTTTTGTTTTGCTTTACTAAAAACAACTGCTAAGCTACTGGGTTGCAGCTTCAGGTCTTACTTAGATAATATTTAAATTATCTTTTCAAACATGGAATGGTTCAATGAATCTGCTGTTCATTCCCAATTAAAGCAAATCAGATACCAAATGGCCCACGTGATCCCTGTATACACATCTTTGAAAGTGAGGCAAGGCATCTCTGCTGTGCTTCTCTAGGGAAACAGCACCCAGGACAAAAGCCTGAGGTGACTGGGAGCAAGTCACCTGAAGACGAGCGTGAGCACAGCTGACTCTAAGAACCGACCATTTCAGTCATTGTTGTAACCACTTGTCTTCTGGTGTGTGTGTGTTTTCCCTTCCCTCTCTCTTCCTGCATAGGAAAGCCAGGACCGGATGGTGAAATGGGGTCTAAAGGAATGAAAGGCTTCCCTGGATGTCCAGGAACCAAAGGCCCTCCAGGTTTCCTTTCTGTACTTTGTCAATTTCCCATTCCTAGGGAGGGTATGTTTTCTTCTGAGTTTCAACTGTCAGGTTAGCTGTATCTCTGAGCCATGACTGACCTTTAGAAGGTAGCTTCCAGTTTCTCAGTCCTCAGACAAAAATGCATGAAAGTGAGGGTAGGTACTCCTGCCTACTTCAAAGGCCTGTCAAGCTAGACATTCCAAAGTGATAATCCGCATGATTGTATTTGCCTGCTCACAGTTTTCATTGTGAATTCAGCTTCACATAACCACAGTTCTGACAGCTGAACACCTTTACCAGAATCACCTACATCTGGCACATCGGGGCATTGACAAGAAAGAAGTAAGTCCTCTCCTTGAATGGCATTTTTTTCAGGCCCCCCAGGACTCCCAGGAAATCCTGGACCAATGGGTATGAGAGGTGACCAAGGACGTGACGGAATTCCTGGCCCAACAGGAGAAAAGGGAGAAACGGGTACAACTTGCTCATTATCTTACTACTAGCTTTATTTTGCATGAAATAATTAGTGACATTATTAATTACAATTAACAATTAATAATTAATTAGTAAACCATCACTGGTCTAGAGAGTCTTTTCTCACAGAACAAATGGCGTTCTGGAGGCATGATAATTAAACTTTCTGTTGAGAAAATGAAATTGACCGAGCGGAACAATTATGCCTATATAATGAAATTAACCTCATATTAAATATTAATATACCAAAACTACCTCTTTCAGGTTTGCTGGGGGCACTTCCAGGCTCAAAAGGGAAACCTGGTGCTCAAGGTGAGCAGTCCTTCCTTCCTGACCTCAGTGATTCACATTTTCAAGGACAGCATCTAATTTAATAGGCTTGATGTATAAAATAAACAACATACTGAATTAAAGAAGTCCCAGTAATAACATAGACTGTTTATATTCTTTGTATTCTAGTGAAAATGCTTAATTGTTACCATCACAACACAAAATGCATGAATTAGAAACTGTGACCCAATTTTGGAATTTACTATGAAAGTCTTTAAAAATAAAAAGACTTCTTACATAGTTGCTTTGTTGCTGTTAACAGGGTTTAAATGTATCACTCCCTAAAAGGATGCAGATGGAATTGGTAGCTTTGGTGTTCCTTTGTCTGGATTTAGCCAGGCGACACTTCAAATGCACACATCATTGTCATGAAGGTCAGCATTGCGTGCTCTGCTGAGTTATCAGTGATTAAATAATGTCATTGTAATTTGAGCTCATCCAATAATAATGATTGTGGCTTACATGTACAGAACACTTTAGACTTTACACCATGTTTTTCCATCTCACTTTTCTGTTTATTATCTCACTGGACCTTTGAAGAACTGAGCTAGGTCAGGTACTCCCTTCATTTTAAAAATAAGAACATGTGAAAGTGAAGTGACTTTGTCAAGAATAAATGGTTAACTGAAGGCAGAACTGAGTCAAGACCTATTTTTTTTTTTTACCAGCTTCTTTTAAAAAAACATGGTGAATCTTCACACATTTAAGCAAAATGTCTACATTACTAGCAATAACCACAAACCATAACTCCCATTATAGGGGCATTAGAGAAACTGATAAAACCTTTCTCTCTGCAGGAGCCAAAGGAGACAGAGGAGCCCCAGGCTTGCCAGGCCTCCCCGGCAGGAAAGGGATGACGGGAGACGTTGGGCCGCAAGGACCCACCGGGATGGCAGGATTCCCAGGGCCGCCAGGGAAACCCGGTGCAATCATCCCCGGCCAAAAAGGAAACCGAGGTCCACCAGGCTCAAGAGGAAGCCCAGGTAGAATCTACTTTCAAGTAAGATAAAAGAATGAAAATAATGTTCAGCATCAGAAGCTTCCCATCTCCCTCTCGTGTGACCTCGTTGCCTCTCTGTGCCTCTGGTCGTCTCCATCTTCCTGTGCCCACCAGCTCTGCCATAGAGCGCGCTAGAGCTGCGGTATTGTTGGGGCACACGGGCCTGTTTGGGAAATTAGTAAATACCAGGTTAATCAGCCTAAAAGAGATCGATGCACCCATTCCCCAGTGAGCTCCTACGACGTGTCAGGTCCGAGCGAGGCACAGGCCCTGCTCCAACAGGCCTTCTTCAGGCAGAGGCCGTCCTGGCTTTGTGCCAAACGCCCCACTGGCGTGACCGCATTCTGTCATTACCATAGTCCCATCACGCTCCCAAAGGGGAAAATTGTTCGCCACCCTGGTAAGGTACGGGGTTTGCACTTCCTCCAAAACAGTCACCGACAGAACCGGCCAAGCGCCCCAATATGCGGCACTGACAGGCTCTTTGTGAATTCAGGTGAGCCTGGTCCACCCGGACCTCCAGGGAGACACGTAATAGGCATAAAAGGAGAGAAGGGCGTGATGGGCAAGCCTGGCCCAAGAGGCCCCCCCGGAATGGCAGGAGACACAGGGCCACCAGGTCTTCCGGTAAGTGTGGAAAATCATTTTGACCTCTTTATCCTTCCAAATCGATAGTCGGCATCAGATGTACAAAAGGCAACCAAATCTTCCCGTTTGTGATGCTTCTGTGCAGTGCACCCAAGGGAAGACAGAGCCCAGAAGGTTCAAAGAAACATAAGCATTAGAGAAATTTGGCTTCTAAGAGCCCTCTAAAGTTTGGGGGCTCTTACAGGCCCCACTTCTCTATGTCATTCCTGACCTTTTCTTGTCTAGATTCTAAACAATTCCAGGGATGGAAAATTCAAAAATACCTAGGCAGTAGGGATCACTCTAGAAGACAACATAATTTTCTCTGTTGATATGCTTTCAGAGTTGCATGTGCTGTCCCCTAAATGTCTATTTATTTTCGTCCCATGACATACAGTACTTACTTTCCAGTGTTTGTAAATACCTGCCATTTCCTTCCAAATACAGGGGTGGGCAAAAGTAGGTAAATAGTAATAATAAATATAATAATGAATAATAATACAAGAATAAACTGTTTCATGTACTCACAACTGTGGGCCTACTTTTGCCTACCCCTATATTTTCTCCTCTGATAAATACTTTTTTTTTTTTTTCAAATTCAATTTAATTCTTCATCAACCCTGCCTCTCTATTCTAAATATATCCTAGTTTGTCACTATCTCCCTTAAAAATACAGGCCCTGGGAAAAAACGGCATCCAGGGGAACTCAGTACTCTGTGGAGGGCCTGGAGGAAGTGTCTCATTATCCTAAACATCAACACTTCATCATCCAACCTAAAACCCACTTGGGCAGCTTGCCCGTCACGTCACCACATTGTTGTCACACATTGAGCTTAAGCTCAACGAAAGCCCACATGCCTTTTCCTTATGAACTGCTAAGTTTTCTCCTCTAGTTCTTATCCTATTGTTTAAGACTTAAATGTAGGACTTTTGCATTTATTTTTCTTAGGGCTCATCTGGTTCATTTAGGCCCATGCTCCCAGCCTATTAATATCTCTTGACTCCGTCTCACTCAACACCTCGGACATCTTCTTAACTTTCCGGCTCCTCTGTTTACATCACATTCTTGGAACCTGATGAGGAAATCAGAGTCATGTCCTAGATGTTCTGTGTTTCATCAGGGATGGGTAGGAAGGTACAGCATAGCTTATTGTCAGGAATCAAGTTGCTCTCAAGATTTCTTAGTATTTGGTTTCTAAAATCTACCTTTTGAGAACCTTTTTTTTAATTTGAAAAATGAGATATTTGCCCTTCTTCAGTCTTAAGTATCTCTCATATTGCCCATGATTCTTTGAAAGTAGCAAACGCTGATCCTCTGGTCACATCAAAAGTTCTTCCAATGACAATTAGATGTGGAAAGTCTGGTTCGGAAATGCGATCTCCCTTAAATCTTCTGTGGGTGCCAAGGTCTTAGGCTTCTACGTTTACACTCACAAGGTCATTCTTCTTGACGGATGTCTAAGCTGGTCTGGATGTCTCCTTGCATGGAAGAGCTCCCCCCTCCCTAAGGGCTGGGCTTGGCAACTGGGCCCTCCTCCCTTGTTACCCTTGCCAGACCTTAAAAGCCTGGGAGTCCTGGATCAAATGGTTCTGTTTGCTCTCCCTCCTTTTTTTAACCTTGCACTACCACATCCAAGCAATAGGACTGCATCTCACCTTCATTTGGCCTTGTTGCTCCAATGACCGCTGGCCTAAAGGGCAGTCTTGTTCTTGGCGTTTATCATGTTCATTGTTTCTCAGTAATAGTGAATTCTGTCTCAATTCACATGGACGCTGTAAGAGCAGATTTTACATACACTCTGACATGTGGCTCTTTTCAGAAGCCCTGCTCCCTCCCCTCCCCTCTCCTCCTGTCTTTGCTGGAGCATCTCATGGCCACAAGAGCAGTTAGTGTAAGCCTCACGAGGAGGGAGCCTCTGCTCCCCGTCCGACCATCGCATCCTTGCCCGAAGCGTGCGTGGGAGCTGCCTGGACCCCCCCCTCCCTGCTCCCATCCCTGGGCACTTTACTCCTCCACTCTGACCAGGACTAATTTATAACTCTGCTGGCTTGGTTAGAATGACGGTGGGTGCTACAATTCAACACCCTGTCTTTGCAAGAATTATGAATACAAGTTATAATTATTATTCTGGCAGTCCGCTGCCTGCTCTTCCTATCCAAGTGTATCCAATACTCACACAACATTCATGAATGTCAGAAGTCATGTTTGCTCTTGGGCTTAAGGTTAGTTTTTATTTCTTTTTATTGAAAATGACAGTCCTAAGGAGCCATCTAGGTGGCTGAGTTACAGGAGGTGAAACACTGGATTGGAAGGTTAATATGATATGGGTTAACTTCAGCTCATTCTTTCCCAACATATTATATCCTATTTGCTTAAAAAAAAAACTGCAGTAAATATTGTGATTTTAAAAATTTGTCTGTGGTTCTGCTCTCTTTTATTTAAAATATAGGGAGCACCAGGAACTCCAGGTCTGCCAGGTCTTAGAGGTGATCCCGGGCTCCCAGGGTTTCCAGGCGTGAAAGGTACTGTTTTTGTGCACTGCTCTTTGAATGCAAATATGATGACCAAGATTCATGTTTCAGGACACACAAATGTTTACTGAACTCCTACAGTCAACCCAGACAGTTAGGGTTAATACAAATAAGACCTCAGTATTATTGAAGAAGGTAGGCTCCACCAGCACCCAACCAGGGGCCTTAACAATTAAAACCATATTTAAAGATGAAAACTACAGGAAAATGAAACAGAAAGTTTAAAGTGGTTACCATTGAGTGTACTGAGGTGTGTGGGTTGAGGGGGATGGGAAACTACATTCATATCAACAGTGTTGTTTTTTGTTATTTTATCTTGTGCACATGTTTTTTAAAAGCTGAAAATTTAAAAGAATACTTTAAAAGCTGAACATCTAAAAGAATATTCACTTACCTGTTTATCAATGGGGGAGGGGAAGTACATTTTATATGTAGATTTAGTCTTTTTTTTTTCTTTATGGGGCACATGTATTATTTTTAATCAGAAAAAAGAATGACTGGGTTTTTAAGTTTAAAATGTTCATACACAGAAACTTAAGCTTCAGGTTTTAGAAATTCTCCAATCTTCCATAAGGGTGCTATGATCTTAAATGAGGTTTTGAATATGGAATTGATGTCTTCGCTGGTTAAATCCTGTTCATTGTTTTTGGTGTGGCAGAGAACCTATTATAGATTGTAAGATGCTAAATACTAAGTGTAGCCAAAGTGAATGAAGCCACATTTTCACAAAGGGAAACTTTTTCCAGGCCTTTTTACAAAGGGAGAATAAGGTGGAGTTCAAAGAGAGCCTTTTTAATGCCTTCCACCACTGAGTCTACAAGGAGCAGATTAGCTAAGAATAAATCAAAGCACATGATCCTGAGGGGTCTTATTAGACACTGGGCTGGTGACTACTGGCAGGCAGCCTGGGAAAAGTGTGTACCACCTGTCACCCGCCACGTCCCACAACAGGACAATGTCTAAGGCTTTTATTTTTCAATTATATTAAGGCCCCCCTAAAGAAAGAAACATTCTGGTAAGATATTTAGGGGTATTTGGAGAGGAGGTTCATAAAATCAGTTTTCTTAAACTATATTCCATGAAACATTCAAGTCCTCTCAGATCTCAGAATAAGACCACCTATCAGCTGGCACTGCTGAGTTTGTACTTTATGTAGAAATTTTTAATCCCCAAGGGGAAAAATATTTAGGCTTCTTCTGGTGAATATTAACACCTTCCTCAAGTTCTGATATCAAGTGGATAATGTATAGTGTAGTTGCCAGTTTACTTTGGTATAAGTTTTTTATTGTATTTCTTCTACAAGTGTTTTATTTAGTATGAAAGTCTAAGTAATCACATGTAATATCTACATTATTTCAAAAATTTTTATGAGTATTTATCCAAATCAATTGTTCTTGGTACCTTTTATTCATGTCAAAGAGTGGTAGAGAAATCTTACCACTTTCGTAGTTTCTATCAAAACAGATATTCTATAGATACTCATGAGAGTTCCTATCATAATTAACTCTGGGCTGCTAGTAAAGCTAGAGTAGTAAGCTGAGAAAATGCAGAACTATGACAACCAATATACTTTACCAGGAAGTGTGCTATAATAAAATAGGTTTTAATGCCACCTCATACTTTACCTTAAATATTAAATTGAACTGCTTTCTGAACTTCATAGTGATCTCTTAGAAACTCTCCCCCTTTGGCAGAAGAGGGCAAAGGGGGGAAAGCTGGGACAGCTGTAAGATAATAACAATAAAAAATTTTTTAAGAAAGGAGCTCTCCCCCTTCAGGGCTACAACACAAATTCTTAATGCTCATCTAGAATATAGTTTTCAATAGTTATTAAACACGACTGCATCCAAATGAAACGCCAGGCGCCCAGGAACATAATTTGAGTTGAAGGCTGTCACCGGGTGTATCACCTCCAGTCGTACCTTCAGCGGCCATCCTTGGAGTCGCTCACCATCCTGAGGATCCAGGAAACCCGTTGTTCTAAGTGGGATCGCATTGCCTCACTCTTTTTTTTTTTTTTTAAATTTTTAGGAGAGAAAGGTGATCCAGGACCTCTGGGACCAACTGGACCTCCAGGGAAAACGGGGCCTAAAGGACCACCAGGTAAACATCATCTCCTTAGTTTGTTCTCCAGGAAGAAACATAACTCATGAGCAAAGCCATCATCTTCTTATGTTCATGTCAACAGGTGTACGTGGCGACCCTGGCACAGTCACAGTCATCTCCCTTCCAGGAAGTCCAGGGCCACCGGGCCCAGCTGGACAACCGGGGATACAAGGAGATCCCGGGCCACCGGGGCCACCGGGGCACCCAGGTGTGGGGCAGGCAGCGTTGACTTGGGTCCCTAGGAAGCGGCTGAACCAGCCAACAGTAATTCACAGAAAACGTTACACATTATATTCCAATGAGCTTTAGAATTGAGCTCATTTCACTCTTCACCAGCAAATATAAGACCTTTTGAATCTACTAAAAGCTATTGTGCATAGTATAAACTTGAGAAAATACACTTTAGGGCACTTAAGGGTTTGTTTTTATTAAGGTAAAAGTATTATATGTCTTCTCTAACACTGTTAGTCATACAGTTCTATTTCTATTTGACTGCCTTCTATGTATTGATACTTTCTAAAACTGTGTATAGCACTTGGAAAAGTAGTACATACAAATGGATCCTTCATCTTAGGAAAGCTTCTCAAAATATTGGTGTATGAAAATTGAACTAACACCTTTATATAGGTTTAGCATATTTTAAGTCTTCTGAATGAAAATTATGTTCTAAGTTTGCTTGAATTACCTGGGAGATAACATAGTATTTGGTCAATACAAGGGAATAGTGAATTCCACAGCATAAACCAAAATGGCAGCACAATTTAAATATGCTGTATTTCATATACTCCTAGTTCATTTTTAGGGGGGCTTTTCCCCTGGAAACTAGGATATAACAAGTTGGATGACCAACTGTCCCAGCTTGCCCAGAGCTGAGAGTCTGCTCTCACTGCTGAAACGGGGGAAGTCCCAAGTTAACTGAGATGGCAGACCACCCTACCTCTTATCCTATCTGAACTATTCAATGCAGTGTTGTTTTTTTTTTGTGTGTGTGTTGTTTTTGTATAGGACCCTGTGGGCCAAGAGGTAAACCAGGCAAGGATGGAAAACCAGGAATTCCTGGACCACCTGGAGACAAAGGCAACAAAGGTCGTAAAGGAGAGCGAGGTAAACAGCCAGTGTGTCTTTCACGGAAGGAGTGCTGTTTCAGTAGACAGAGAAGTCGTGTTTCAATATGCGACTACCTGCAATAGTAATCTAGTCCTTCCAGTTTGTGTTGTTCAGATTGGACTAAAAACCAGCAGTAAAATGTTCATTTAGAAGAAGAAAATTCAAGAGTTATTGAAATGTACCATTGTTCTTACCTCCCAACTGGGAAGATGTACTCCAGATTTTTAGCCTGAGGCCCTAATGAAGCACTAATTCTATTTTCAGAAAGGCCAGTACTGTTTTCTATTTACAGGAGTACTTAGTTAATAACATCTACTTATAGAAGTGGTATACAAGTAGAGAAATATTATCTGGATATAAACAGAGGAACAACTCAATATCCTTACTTAGGAAAGCCATGTTTTAACTACGCCATTCTTGAATACAGTTCAACTCCTGAGTATATTGGAAAAGGGCCTCTTAAATATTTGTTTGAACATAAATAAGCTCTATGTTCACCTGGATCAAAATCTACCTATTGCAAGTTTCAAAAGCACCTCTTAGAAAACACCTAGATATCCAAATCTTATTATTTAGGATTGCTGACTTTAAAATGAGTTCTGTGATTTCCCAACTTTCTGATATATGCCCAGATCTACTATAATCAAACTGTAAAGTCTAGAGATTAAAACCTTTAAAAGTTCAAATATGTTAATATTTCTATTAAATTCATAACCACTCATAATTCAGTATTGTTGAGTGTACTTTACAGCACTAATTCACTTTCCTTCAAATGTGTTTTCAAAGCAGTAAAAAAATCAAACGTCTAATAATTCTATGAATTAAAAAATGTTCATTGACCAAGTCAGTGTTTCAGAACGGGACCACAGCAAGGACAGAGGTCCTACAATACACATTATATTTGGAGATAATTAGCAAGTACACATAGTTAATCCTAATGTTACAAAGGGCCTCATAAGAATGAGAAAGGGATCTAAGAGTCAAACAACATTGGCCTAAACTAAGAGCTTTAGCTTTTCTTGGATGTGTAGACAATCTTTGTATAATAATGCGCCCAAGTATGTCACACCTGGCTAATCACTTCATAGTTCAGTGGAGACCTGAAGGTACCTTCAGCTTGGAGCCAGTTATAGCCCCGTGCAAGAGAAGGTAGACACTAGGAACAGTGAAGACACCTTCCATATATGATTTATTAAAAACATGGCAATTTGGACTTTTCAAGTAATATGACTTTGAAGAATTTGGATATAGACTATTTTTAATTTCAAAGAATGAACCAAGGTCCCAGAAGAAGACAAGAACAGGTGGAGAGACTGAAAAAAGTATAATATTGGAGATTTCACAAATCCTTGTCAAAAGCATTGACTTAAAATTGACATTAAACTACTGCCTGACTCCATGGAATGATGGTTAATGAGGAAAAATATCAACACCTCTTTGGACTAGGTAGGCCAAAAATCCAAGTCTCTGCCATCCTTAGAACTCTAAAGAACCATCACCCAAATCAGGTTGGGGTGGGGTGGGGTGCAGCGGCAGCAGAAATGGATCAAGGGTGAGGGGGTTGGTTAGCCTGTGCCAGTATGATTTTTTTTTTTTTTAAAAAAGGTATTTGATGAAGAGCGAACAAGAGAAAGGAAAAAAAGGATAGGTCCCGGGTCCTTATTTAGAAAGTGACAAAAGTGTATTTAGTCTACTCCAAAAATGCAGAGAAACTACAAAGTGAAAAAAGAACTTTGGTTTTAACTCATATAAATAAACTCTTGCCTCAGTTAAAAAAAGCCTTCTGTTCTGATTTGCCTTACTCATTGATCAAAAACTTTCTTAAGTTTTGAACTTTGCACCTTTGAAAGGAACTGTCAATGTTTTCCATGTTTATTAAAATTATGAAAAGCCTGTGTAATTTATCTTAAATTGATTTTCAAATTATAGACACTTGATTCCTTGTTCCCAACACTGTAAAATATTCACTTATGCCCAAAAGATGAACAAAAAACCTACCAGAGGCAGACCGCTGTGCTGGGCACCACAGGGAAATAAAGACCTGATGTCAGAAAATCCATCACAAGCTATACACAAACATGTATAATAGGCATTGTATGGCATTAGTCAGCATTTACTAATATTGTCTGGCTGTTTTACAAGCCACTGTTCTTTGTGACTCCTTACTATATTTGGGCTTATCAGATATACATAAACATTTGAATCAGTACTTTGGAAAAACAAGTTTCAGGTTGCATTGCAACATGGATGACATTTCTTGAAGGACTTCCTGGATTCGATGGACTGCCGGGTTTGAAGGGGAAACCAGGCGACACTGGACCACCTGCAACCAGAACCACGATGAGAGGCTTCATTTTCACCCGGCACAGTCAGACCACAGCAATTCCTTCCTGTCCAGAAGGAACAGAGCCACTTTACAGTGGGTTTTCTCTTCTTTACATACAAGGAAATGAACAAGCTCATGGACAAGACCTGGGTAATGTGCCAGTCCCAGTTCCTAGTTACTTTGTTGCACATACAGATTGTAAGTTTTTCCAGCATGGGGTACTTCTCTCTGACACAAACAACCTTGGGTACCTCAGAGCACTTTTTAAAGAGTAAACAAAACATTAGCTTCAGGTCTGATTTTTTATTCTGAGATGTAAAGCCCTTCTGAATTAAAGTACAGTTGACATACAATATTAGTTCCAGGTGTAGAACATAGTGGGATTTCACATTTATATACCTTACGAAGTGATCACCACAGAAAGTCCATTATCCATCAGTCGCCATACAGTTATTGTGATATTACTGATATTATTAATATTCCCTGTTGTACTCTACATCCCCATCACTTATTTGTAAGTTTGTACCTCTTAATCCCCTTAACTTTTTTGCTCATAACCCCACACCCCAATCCTCTGGCAGTTATCAGTTTTTCTATATCTGTGGGTTGATTTGCTTTGTTTTTTCATTTCTTTAGTTTTTTAGATTCCATGCCTATGGGAAATGATAGTGTTTGTCTTTCTCTGACTTTAGCATAGTCCTCTCTAGGCCTTTCCATGCTGTCGCAAATGGCAAAATCTTTTTTTTATGGCTGTGTAATATTCCAGTTTGTGTGTGCACACATGCACACACACATCCACTTCTTTATCCATTCATCTAGTGATGAACACCTAGGTTGCTTTAATAACTTGGCTACTGTAAATAATGCTGCAGTAAATATAGAGGTGCATTTTCTTTTTGAATTGTTCCACTTCTGGGGGCTAATCTGAAGAAAAGAATTGCTGGGTCCTTCTTTGTCTCTTGTTATACAGCCTTTGTTTTAAAGCCTTTTTGTCTGCTGTAAGTATTGCTATCCCAGCTTCTCTCTTCATACTACATTTATAAGTGGTTGGTCTACTATCTTTACTATATGTTTGCCTTTACCAGTGAGATATTTCTTTATTTATTTTCTTATTTCTAGTTTTGGCCTCTTATTTTGCACTTAAAGAATTCCCTTTACTATTTCTTGTAATGCTGGTTTAGTGGTGATGAACTCCTTTAACTGTTGCTTGCCTGAGAAAATCTTGATCTCTCCTTCAATTCTGAATGACAACTTTATTGGTAGAGTATTCTGGGTTGTAGGTTTCTTTTGTTTCATCATGTTGATTATATCATGCCACTCCCTTCTGACCTGAAAGTTTCTGTTGACAAATCAGTGGACAGTCTTAAGGGAATGGCCTTGTATGTAACTAGTTGTTTTTCTCTTGCTGCTTTTAAGATTCTCTTTAACTTTTAACAACTTAATTACAATGTGTCTTGGGATGGGTCTCTTCGGGTTCATCTTGTTTGGGACTCCGTGCTTCCTGGACTGGAATGTCTGCTTCCTTTGCCAAGTTAGGCAAGTTTCAGCCATTATTTCTTCAAATAGCTTTTCTGTCCCTTTCTTTCTCTTTCTCTTCTCCTTCTGGGACCTCTATGATTCTAATGTTAGTACTCTCGGTGTCCCAAAAGTCCCTGATGCTTTCTTCATTCTTTTTAATTCTTTTTTCCTTTTGATCTTCCATTTGGGTAATTTCCACTGGCCTGTTTTCCTGATTGCTGATCCATTCTTCTGTGTTATGCGATTTGATGTTGATTCCCACCGGTGAATTTTTCATTTCAACTGTTATATTCTTCAGTTCTGATATGTCCTTACTTAGAATTTTTATGTATTTGTTTAAGTCGTTGAAGTTCTGATTGAGTTTTTTCATTTGTCTGGACAGTTGAATGAGCATCTTATGACTGTTACTTTGAGCTCTTCATTTAGTAGACAGCTTACCTCGGTTTCACTTAGTTCTTTTTCTGGGGTTTTGTCCTGTTTTTTTGTTCAGAATATATTCTTTCCTATCCTCATTTTGCCTGTTTCTATGTATTGTATTAGGTAGATAAGCTAAATCTCCTGGTCTTGAAAAGTGGCCATATTTTCTTGTGGAACCCTTACTTAGAAAATGTTCCCCTTGTCACCAGAGCCAGGTGCTCTAGAGGGTGTACTAGCATAGCTTCCTGCTGTGGCAGGGCCACAGCTTCTATGGACACACTAGCAGGCAAGGCTGGTATCTGGCCTGCGGGCTGTGAGGCCTGGCCACACTGTGGCAGGCTCACTGGAGTACAGGGCAAGGCTTTGATGCGGCTGGCTGCAAAGCCCACCCCCACTGAGTGATACAGCCCATTCAGTGTGGTAGGGCAGGAAGTGCTTTGGAGGGATGCTACCCTGGGTAAGTCCTCAGGGAAAAGCCCCGGTGGGGTAAACAGTGTTAGCAAGGTTAATGGACAGTGTCAGATATGGCACCTGCCAGTGTCAGACCAGCTAGGTTAAAGAAAGGCAAAAAAAAAAAAAAAAAATGGCACCCACCAGCACCTCTGACACAAGCAAATTCCAACAGATCCCCGTCCCTCCAGCACGCACCCTAAAATTAGTCAATATATCACCTTCACGTATAACCTAGCTGCTTTTCAAACTGCTTCCTCTGTGCCACAACTCGGAAAGAGCACAACCTGGGTTTTCTATAGCCCTTTGGCTCTCCCAGATGTAAGCCTCACTGGCTTTCAAAGCCAGATGCTATAAGGGCTTCAATTCCTGGTTCACGTCAACCAGGCGAGGGCTCAGACCCTTCGCTTTTCGGGGGTGACCTCCGCTGTTGTGACAGCCCTCCCACTCGTGAGTCACTGCACAAGGAGCGGGCAGTAGGGTAGGTCTTGACGAGGCTTAGTCTCTACTCCTCCTACCCTTTTCAATGTGGCTTTTACTTTATACCCATAGTTGTAGAACATCTGTTCTGCTAGTCTTCAGGTGCTTCTCACAGAGAGTTGTTTTATATGTAGTTGCAGTTTTGGTGTCAATGAGAGGAAGGGAGCTCAGGATCTTCCTATTCTTCCATCTTGAACTTGAAGCCAGGAGCCTTGCTCTTGGATGCCAATTTAGCTTGTCCTGTTCAACAAAAACAATTTCACTTAAATTATCTTTCTGCTTTTTAATCTAATATGTTTTCTAAAGCTTTTCCTGGCTATTAGCTATTTTATACATATCAAGATCTGGGAATACTTTGAAGCAAAAACATTTTTCCTACTGACCTCCACCAGTCCTCAAGTCCTACACTGATTAGGGTGGGCCACGTAAATATTAAGGGTGGGAGAAAGAGAATTTGTTTGCACCTGTTGGATCTTTGATTCCTATCATTATTAAAACTTCCATAATACATTTTGCAATAATTCTTTCATGTCATCTTTCTTCAGTTTTTGCCATAGGTTGTTTTCATTAGCCTCTATTTAGTAACAATATTCAAAATAATTTTAATTTACTGAATGTGATCCCCAATCTGATGTTTTATTAGGAACTCTTGGAAGCTGCCTACAGCGATTTACCACAATGCCGTTCTTATTCTGTAACATCAATGATGTATGTAATTTCGCATCTCGAAATGATTATTCGTACTGGCTCTCAACACCAGCTCTGATGCCAACGGATATGGCTCCAATTACTGGCAGGGCCCTGGAGCCTTATATCAGCAGGTAAAAATTCAATCCCTTAGTTTTGTGATGGAACTAGATGAATTACTTCCTGTGTAATCTAACTGTAGGCAGCACACCACAGTTCAGAAAGCAATGATGCCACCATATCTTTTGTTTCATGTGACAGGTGCACCGTCTGTGAAGGTCCCGCCATTGCCATAGCCATTCATAGCCAAACCACTGATGTTCCCTCATGTCCTGATGGCTGGATTTCTCTTTGGAAAGGATATTCCTTCATCATGGTAAGAAAAAAAGGAACAGCAAATTCATAACAAAGACTGCTTATAGACTGCTGAATGCCCCCAAAATGATGTATCTGATAGCAATACACAAAATATGTCACAAACATTTGCTTAAAATCTGAAAATATACCCTCTTTTTAAAAAGCAGTAAGTTGTTTTTTGGCAAATAATAGAGCATTTAAAAAAAGAGACTTCTCAGGAGATTACCCACAAATTCTAAATAAGACACTTAGGTGAACAGTACCTACAGTATTGGTAATAAAATGTCTGTTCTTTAATGTGGCACATATTTTATATACATCCTCCACAATCCTTATGAAAACCCTGCAAGGTAGTTTCTATCATCTATAGATTTACCACAAAAAAAGGTATTTTCTCCAAGGTCTCACAACTAGTAAGTGGTAGAGCTAGGACTTATACCCAAGTTTCTCTGTTCCAAAATCTTTATACCTTAGTTTCCTTTGAAATTCACAGGAAGATGGAAACTAAAAGAGAGAGAGAGCCTTTTAAAAAAAATTCCTCAGATGTAAGTGCTAAATGAAGAAATTTATGAACTGACCATCTATAAGTCTGATAGCTGCACATACATGGTTAGTGGTTATTCATATTCTGTATGAATATTCCTCCTTATTTACTCAGTTGTCCATTCTTTCAATTATGAATTCAATAAGTATTTATTGAACACCTACCATATGGCATAAGCACTAAGGATACCAGCCTTGAACCAAGTCCTGCCCTCAGAGCTTATATCCTAGTGGAGAAGGTAGACAATCAGCAAGAAGACACAATAACAGTAACAAGCACGGATGGTGAACGCTACTCTGAAGGGCGTAACGCAAGATAAAGCAGAGAGACTTGGGTTCAAGTCCAAGCTTTACCAAGGAACATGCAACTACTATTCAAATCTCTACAGTTTCTGGTTGGCTTCATGAAACCCAGAAATAATGTTCAGGGTTATTCAAGCCTTTGGAAGTTTATATTTAAGCAGATCCCTAAACGACAATAAGAACCAGTCACACCTGGGGGAAAAGAGCATTCTAAGTAGAAGAAACAGCTTTTACTTTCTTTTTGATGACTATAGTAGCTCAACTTGGAAGTAACTGACATGCTAACAAATCTAAGCAAGGACGCATAAGTTAATTCCTGCTTTTTTTTTTCCTTGTCATCTATTACAAAAACAAAAAACAAAGCAAAGCTTTGAATATTTCAACACCATACACAGAATTCTTATTTGGATATTTTTATTGTGCTAGTTTACAAGTGCAGGTTCCGAGGGCGCAGGGCAAGCACTGGCATCCCCTGGGTCCTGCCTGGAAGAATTCCGAGCCAGTCCATTTATAGAATGTCATGGAAGAGGGACATGCAACTACTATTCAAATTCCTACAGTTTCTGGTTGGCTTCCTTAAACCCAGAGAGAATGTTCAGGTAATTATTCAAAGTCATGCTGAATCTAATGACTCAACTGCAGAACTATTAAAAGGTTGCCTATGTTAGATTTTCATTATTTGAAAAATCTCACATGCCAATAAAATCCTATTTAGCTTGGCACTTCCAGTTTACAAGACTCAACAGGTAGCCTGGTTTTGTACCACTATAGCAACAAAGGCATCTCTAGATGTATTTAATATATACATACAAATTTATAGTAAATTACTAAATAAAACCACTAAATGATATGCTAATCTTAATTTATTGTATTGAAAGACTTAAGACAGATTATTTAAAAAACAAGGTTAGTTTTCATTAACAAAGATGATCCGTATGATTCCTTAGTGCTATCAAGATACAACTAAAAATCATAAAACATTGACAATGTATCAGAAATGCACCTCCTATACTAAAAGTTTAGATGAGCTACAATATGTATTAATAAAATTCAAATCCAACAAGCACTCCCTTTATATCTGTAAGTTGGTGATATTTTTTGTTTTTTCAGAAAACCTATTCCATCTACTGTGAAAGCTGGGGAGTTAGAAAAGATAATAAGCCGATGCCGGGTATGCATGAAGAGAACACAGTGAAGAAATTAAAAAAAAAAAAAAAAAAGGAACTGTTATTTTTTTCATCCTAAATAACAAGTAATGATGCAGAACACCTATTTACCTATTTTTCTCTAACCAAACAATACCATTCTAGAATGGCTTGGTACAAAGTTTCTGTTTGTTTCCCCACACACAAAAGCATTTCTTTTTTCTTCTGTGATACTGGTTTCTAAATCTGTTTCAAAGTTCTCCATGGCAAGGCAGCAGAGTTTTCACAAAAAACCACTGAAATTGTATTCCACTTGTATCCAATGCACTACCTAAATGGTAACTGTATAAAGTTTGTGATACAAGTGAAGACCTACTTGGCCCATTAAATTCCCAAGATGTGCCCCCTTCTATTTCAGTCTTTGAGACTCAGGGAGGGCACTTTAGTATTAGATTGCCCCACCACCTACTTTCTAAGACTTTAGGTCTTAAGCAGACGAGATGTGCGCAAGTGGAGGACACACATTATTGATGAAACTGGACCTTCGGATCTGTTAATTAGCCTCGGGCTGGAGAGGACTGGAATCAAACTGAAGTTCGTGGATTTTCTATGGCTTTTTTAAACAAACGCAATAGTAAGGCTAAAAGAGGGGTTCCCTGAATGGAATCACAATAGCCCTGGAAACACTGTACGGTTTTGTTTAGTATTTTTTAAGTCTTTTGGTTTGTCCAGTGCATTCATGTCACTGCAGCAATACGGCCTGCTCCTATTCCAAGTAGGTACAATTTTTACCCTTAGTGAATTAATTTTAATAGAATTTTTACACATGTACTCAGAGCTGTGTCTAATTTTAGCTTTTCTTTCACCAGCACTCCCACACAAATAACAAGAGAACAACTTACTAGGTGTAGATGTGTACTTTATCCCCATCCCTATAAATGTTGGTGCATATACTTAAGTTCAGTAATCCATGAAAGAACTTAAGGCATTTGTTGGCCAGTAAGGTTCAGAATATTTTTCCTTTGCTTAAAATATTCCATTTAACTTGGATATTTAGAGATTCCTTTGTTACTTCCCTAATTCCTTTTTCGTAAAAACATGTTTTTCAAACCGTATTAAGAAAGCCCATTGTGTAAAAATCTAAATGTACTAATTGTATAGCTTGCCAGCTGTCTTAAAACTTGCTTTTCGGTGTGTCGATACATTCCCAAGGTTACTTAATTCAACTTAACAAGCATTTTCTTCAGCACCAAGCCATACTGCAGGCACTGCACTAAATTATAGAAATATTAAGGCAGCGGGGGTGGGGGGCTGGGGGAGACTTGTTTCTGATTCTCGTGCTAACATCCTGGAAAAGGTTAGCTTCCTGTTTCTGTTAGGGACCCCACATATCTGAGCTGTTTCCCCCCTTCTCTTCCTTTATCTCTGTCCTAATATTTCATCGTAATTCAGCAGGCCTCAAGAAAAGTTTAAAAGTAAGATCTATGCCCAGGATTTCTAGCTTCTCCTAGGCTAGCTTTTTCTAGGCATCGCAGACCTCGGTTTGGGCAATGTTAAGAAAACAAAGCTCTGCAAAACATTAACAACCACTTATACTTGATGGCAGCACTGTCTGGTGAGTCTCAGAAGTCAGGCATCCTAAGAGAAAACTCTGAGGATGTTTCCCAACCCACCTAGGTGGAGTTGGTGGTGCTAATACTTAAATTCAGGTTTTACTGCTTCAATCTCAGTTACTTTGGACGTGAGGATGCGGCCCCAGAGGGCGGCACAGGCTGTGACCTGGGCCCACAGCCTCCACTGCTCATGTGACTGCTGCGGCGCCATTTTTACATTTAAGCTAAGAAGTGCATTTTCCTTAGAATACTTATTTATACTAATACTTATTTATACCTAATATTAAGACTCTTTGCTCTAAATATATCCTACTGTCCCAACTGTACTGTAATTGCATAGAGGGCTGCCAGATCTCTACAAACCCTCTATAGACTAGATGCTGGACCAGCAGCATCTGGGAACTTGTCACAAACGCAAATTCTAGGGCCAACCCCACACCTACAGATTCAGAAACTCTGGGGGTGAGGTCCAGAAATCTGTTTTAGCAAGCCCTCCAGGTGATTGCCAATGCATGTAAAGACAGAAAAACTGCTCTAGGCAAACACCCAGAAAAACAATTCTCCAGGCAGCTACCAGGTGTAGCGCACCACAGTTGTTCCACCTGTGCCTCTTTCAAATCCAAAAGCACAGATGAACTTGAGGTTATCTAACATCACTACTATGAAAAAGCCTTAGATTGGTGCTAATGCCAAATGACTGGCTCCCGCTTGTCCCCTAGCCTCCTCCCTCACTTGCCCTCTCATTGGTGTTTAACTTCCGAGGAAGACAAGTGATGCTAAATTCCAATGAAGCCATATTACCAGCTGCTCAATCGCAGTTCTAAGGCTGAGCATTAAAACACAGCTCATGTGCATTTCTTTCTAGACCTTTATGAATAGCTTAAGATTTAACTTTGTAGATAAAATGTTAAGTACCTTGTGTCTTTTAAATGTGGGGCTTCAACTTTGGAATTAGTATGCTCAGATGTCTTTCTGCAAGATAAATATTATTAAATAAATTATTTATAAAAGTATTACAATACTAAATTTGAATTTTATTGCTAATATAACTTACAAAGATTCTTCTATGCATCAAATGCAACTGACTGATACTAAACTTAATATTTACTGTATAACCAACTAAAATATATTTAAAATATATTGAATATTTTATATTATATCTTGACAAAATTACAATGTTGTAAAGTACTAATAGTTCTGTAATTATAGCTAAAATACAATTTTATTGTATTGTCTAGTAATAAAATGGAAAAACTTATCTGGTCTTATTTCTTCAAAATGAAAATAATTTATTTTGAATTTTAAAAATATATATTCACTCTAAAATCAATAGACAGTACAGAAGTTAACACACTGTGGACATGTTTTCATATCCATAGGCAAGAACTAATCATTATTTGCATGGATATACTACATAAGTCAATGAATCCCCAACTGATGGACACTTAATTTAGTTTTAGTATGCACATGCTGTACATGTTTCATTTCACATATCCAATTATTTCCTCAAGATAAATCTCTAGGAGGAAAATTGCAGCATGAAAGGACTCACAATCTTAGGATACACACACATATGCGCGCACGCGCACTCTCTCTCTCTCTCTCCCCCCCGCCTCCCCCCGCCACGACGCCCCACAGGGAGAGAGGAAGAATTTCCAGCTGCATGAACAATATAATGGAAACAGCCCGTAAGGGCTGTTAGGACTTGGGGGCATACAGTGTCCCGTGATTTGGTTTCAGTCCATCCCAATGTTGACGAACAAGGTACTGATTTTTCCTTGTGCTCTTACCAATATTGGACATTGCTGTTCTTTTACAATTTTACCTATCTCATTTTAATATTTTGCTCATATCAGTGAGGTTGAACATGGTCAATTTTAATTAGTATTTTTTACTAGGACTTATTTTTATTTTCCCGTGAAGACCTAATCATATATTTGCTCATTTTCTGTGGAGATGTGTAAGGAGTTTTTACAAATCAATAAAAAAAAGTATAGGTTATGGAAATTATGGTTCATATACTTTGATAACGTTTCCCATTTATAATACTACTCCTCATTTGAGAAAAAAATACTCATAAAACTTCAAATGTAGAGAACTGGTAAAGAACACTTTTAATACACTAAATATGAAATCTCATGATTACGGAACTTACAGGCTATGTTGAATGGTAATAAAGATATAATTAAAGGAAGAAACAGAATGAACAGTAATCCTAGGTAATAATTCTAAGACCAAGAAAATTGTTGCTTAAATAAACATCTGAGAATCACTCCCATAATTGGGCCAAAAAATTTTAGCCTGTAAACATTTTGAGTCAAAATATACTGATCCATTTTAATAAACTTATTTTTTACGGCTCGCAAGTAGAAAAAGAAATGTTGTGTTTGAGCTCATTCTACTTTATAAGACTGGAAAGGAAAATTTTGATCAGTCTCTAATGGATTCTTAGCAACCTAATGACAGCAAATGCAGAACACGAAGAGCACTAAGAGAGCCTAATTCACTTCGCCCTAATCCCAGGTCTGCCTCCTGGAAACTAAGGGACAAGCAAACACAGAGGAAAAGTAAGTAATGTTTTGAATAACCAGGCTAAATTTAAACAACTTCAGATAAATATTACCCTCTCTAGATTTTTTGTAGACTTTATGGTGTTTTCTAAAAGCTCTGACATTGCTCAAAACCTTTTTAGAACTATTGCTTTGGAATTATCCTCAATTCCAATTTTTCAGTCAAACAAGGAAATAGGTCCCATTACTCCCAAGACTTACAACATGTTCAATATGCTTGGCTGCACAGTAAACATCCATGATGAGCGAGATAAAGACTTTGGTTTCAAACACAGAACTTTATAAGGCGACTAAATGGCAATGAAAAAAAAATTCAATAAACATTGAATTTTTAAAAATAAAACGGCTGCACAAATTTTTTTTTAAACACAGAACTTTAAATCTGGTAGGGGAAAATAAGACAAATATAACATTGGACAATGTGTTGTGTTTTAAGAAATGACAAACAGTGGTTCAAAACTGGAGGCTTCAATAGGGTCCCTTAAGGGCTGTTAGGACTTGGGGGCATACAGTGCCCCGTGATTTGGCTTCAGTCCATCCCAATGTTGACGAACAAGGTACTGATTTTTCCCGCGGAAAGTAAGAGGGTTAGATCCAGAGAGAGCTCTCAGGAGCTTACGGCATTGAAACCTAAATCCTTCGGGATTCTCACCTTGAAGGATTAAGGGAGTCAGGCAGAGCCGGAGCCACTGTTAAGGAAAGACGTCTGGAATTAGCCTAAAGAGCCATCAAAATTAAAGTGTGTAAGAATCACTTGCAGTATAGTGTCACCGGAGGGAAAGGCATGGGGGTCGGTGGTAAAGGCGTGGACCAAATACACGGCGACGGATGATTTGACTTCGGGTCACACACAATGCAAGAAGAGATGATGGATTACAGAATTGTACCCTTGAAACCTACATAATTTTACTAACCAAGGTCACCCCAACAAATTTAATTTTTTAAAAAATCACTTGGAGAGCTGGCGAAATCGGCACATTCCTAGGCTTCATTCCAGGTAAATTTCGATGCAAGTAGCTCTGCACAATAGTTATTTTAACTGGCTCCCGCGGGTCTACTTGTAAAACAAGATGTTCTTAACGATCACGGCTCTAATTAGTATATGTGTGACCCAAACACGTACCGTGAAAAGGAATTCCCTGGGGTTGGTGCACCGCCCAGGCAAGAAACGTGCCTCCAGACAGGATCGCCTGGGTCACTGCCCCCGCTCCTAAGCGAGCGTCTCGCGTCTACCCGCCCCTGCGTCACGTGACCACGAGCCTGCCTGTGCTACGGGTGCTGAGAGGGGCCAGCCCCGGCGGTTCTCGCGTCTCTGCCGGCCCGCTGCGGGCCGCTCCGGCCGGTGTTTTGCCCGGGCGCCTCCGTGCGCTCGGCCAACGGCCTCTGACAGCACCCACCCGAGCGCCCCGGGAGCCGGCGGGCGGCGGCCCCCGCCGGGGACCCTCCACCGGGCCCAGGGGTGAGTACTGACGTCTTCCCGACCCGGGCCCCGCAGCCTGGCGCCGAGGCCGTGACGAGGGCCCCCCGGTGGCCCCGGCGCGTCCGTGCTGTCACCCTCGCCTGAGTCCCGAACCCCAGGCTTCTCGCCTGAAGCCCTGGCTTTCCGCCTTTCCGGGGACTCCCCTTTTCCCCCACCACCAACCCTGGCCCTGGGGGGAAACTGTCCTGCAAACGTTTTGGACCCAACTTCTTCTCCCTTTCTAGTTCGCTGTCTCTTGCTGTCGATCAATTTTGGGCC